TTTATGGGCTCTGCAGGGGAGCCCCAAGGACAGGCCTGGCAGCCTGATGCCAGCTTAGGTCTTATCAGCTTGTGTCCTTTGGGCCCTGTGGTTTCTAAGGTCTAATTCCTCAAGTGCATCCTGCATTCATTATCCTCAGGCTTTTGTCGTAGTTTAGTGGGAATTCCCAAGGCCTGGGGCTTGGGTTTATTTCAGCCTGCACTCCACCTGCACTCCTGATTCTGTGAAGCTGAGTTTCCCCAGTGGGGAAACTCAGTGGTCCTGTTTAGACTTCTGTGTGGGGTGGGGCGGGGTGGGGGAGGGCGGGGGGGGTACTCTGTGTCCCCTCCTAGGGTTTCTGCAGTTGGGGCTATAGCTAAGACCTTGGGATCTCTGTCCTCAGGCTGGAAGCAACAGGGTTTGATGATCTCATGGCTGTGGTGGGCTTTTCCTGAGCCCCTTTAACTCTAGGGGACAATGACTTGATTGCAGGCCACTGTGAGTACCTCTTGTTCTCTGGGTTCCTGGAGGAAGTGCTCCTAAGATGGTAAGTCCCAGCCTCAGTCCTGGGAGTCAGGTGACCCAGGGGTCATGTGGCACCGTGGTCCCATCCCAGCCTCAGTCCTGGGAGTCAGGGGACCCAGGGGTCATGTGGCACCGTGGTCCCATCCCAGCCTCAGTCCTGGGAGTCAGGAGACCCAGGGGTCATGTGGCACCGTGGTTCCTCCCAGCCTCAATCCTGGGAGTCAGGGGACCCAGGGGTCATGTGGCACCGTGGTTCCTCCCAGCCTCAATCCTGGGAGTCAGGGGACCCAGGGGTCATGTGGCACCATGGTCCCATCTCAGCCTCAGTCCTGGGAGTCAGGTGACCCAGGGGTCATGTGGCACCGTGGTTCCTCCCAGCCTCAGTCCTGGGAGTCAGGGGACCCAGGGGTCATGTGGCACCATGGTCCCATCCCAGCCTCAGTCCTGGGAGTCAGGGGACCCAGGGGTCATGTGGCATCCTGGTCCCATCCCAGCCTTCGTCCTGGCTCTCACAGAGTAGGTGACTTACTTCCCACCACCCCGAGTAAACAATTAAGTTCTTTTGTCTCTTTATTGCAATTGGGTTGATCACTTCTGTGTGTCCCCTCTGAGCTTCTGATATCCTCTCTTAAAGTCTGGTACTGGGTTTTATATCCATGTGTGTTTTTGTTCACAGGACCGTAACTTTGGCTGTTTACAATTCACTGTCTTGCACGGCCTCCCCTGTCCTTGTATGAAATTTTAGATTTTATTGTGTTGTATGTATTTTAGTCCTTTGAAGTTTTATTGCTTTTGATGCCTAAATGGCATCAGCCTGGGGAGCCACTTCAGGCTAGCGTTTTGTCCTTCATGGGGTAGTTGTCTTTGATAACTTCCTAGATCTTACCTGACATGTTCTCAGGACCATTTTTTAAGATTTCTCACTGAAGACCTGGAATTGGTTCCAGAAATGGACACTGTTATTAGACCTGTAGATTTCCCCTTACTCCTGTGCATCTTGGTCTCCAATGGCATTCGATTTGGAGGACTGCCTTGAACTGCTGGAATTACAAGAGTCCATGGGGTCTAACCTCCCAGACAGCTGTAGCCAGTGAAGGGATAGTACAGGCACAAGAGGGCCCCGGCCTGCGGCTGTAGATCAGGAAGATTCTGAAAGTTAGTTGAGAACCCAGAATGCTCCTCAAGGAACTAACCCTACCTTTTATAGGACTTCATCTAAAAATGTACCCCTGTTTGGCTTCTTCACATCCCTGTCCTGCTTTCTCTTTCCCTTCCAGTTGTTCCTGAAAGTCCTTTAACAGAGAAGAAGAGCTCAGTCTCCTTCTCTGGAGGCTGACCTAGATTCAGTGGGTGAGAAACTATCTCTCGCCATTGGCACTTTGTGTGTGCGTGTGCATGTGCGTGCGCGCACTTGAGGTTATTTCTATACCACTTGACCTACAACTCCACTTCTGGCTTTTTGGTGGTTAATTTGAGATAAGAATCTTTTCGCCTGGATAGGGTTTGAACCATGATTCTCAGATTTCAGCCTCCTGAGTAGCTAGGATTACAGGTGTGAGCCACTGGTACACAGACACTTTAAAAATTTACTGAGATTTGCTTAATCTAGGATTGTGACATTTGTTCCAATTTCTATTTTTCCTCCATCCTTTCCCTTTTAATCTTGAATAATTGTTTTGATTGTTTATTTGCTTACATATCACATTTTCTCAGAGCTCTATTCAAAAGTTATCAATTTTGCTTATGCTTAGTTGTTACTTTTGTAAGTTTACCATGCATGGAAAACAAATTCTACACTTATTTATATTAACCTCCCATTTAGCAATATAAAGACCTCAGAAGAGTACTTTAGTTGTATTACACTGTTGTTCAGTTTAGTCCTAAAAAGTCCCATAAAACATGATTATTATTTTGGCTGTGTTTGTTGTTTATGTTTTGTATATTATTGGTACCTGCCTTTCATTCCTGCTTCATATGCTTCTCTTCGAGTGGTTTTGCTCTTCCTGAAGGAAGCCATTCCACCATAACATGGCTTATGCATTCCTGAAAATGTCACCACTGAAATAGCAGTTCTGAAGAAAAGTAGGTAGTGCTTATATAACTCTGCAACCTAACATGACCAAAACCAAGAACAACTCTAATAAAAATAGAGCAATGTGAAATCTGCCCTGGCATTGTCACACCCAGTATGGAAATGAATTAATCCTTTGTAGCCTAAACACCAGGGCTTAACCAGACTCTCCTATGAGCTGCAGGAAGAGAAGGAATTCACATCCAGGCGAGACCAGCCTCCTCCCGCATGAGAGTAACCTAACCGTTTGTACTGTGCTCGTGGAGTGGTTCTCCACAGGCCTCTGTCCCTCAGGACTCATGCTCAAGCCCCAGTCCTTTTCATCCTGTCCCAGTGAAAGTGGTGCTTTCTGAGTATGACAAATTCAAGTGGTCTCAGGGATACCTGGGTTGATGTGAGGTCCTTGCTTCTTCCCTCCCAGGGACAGCTGCCCTTGAGTTCTGTTTGTGCCTTCCCATCTCAGCATCTTCAGACAGGGGCAAGTCATATGCTTTCTTCAGCTGCCACAGTGGGGGTCAGGAGCAGCATTGGTTAGTAGTATTGGGTTAGTTTTATAGACTTATTGCTTGCTCATTTTAAAAGCTGTTTATAAAAAATGTTTACATATTTTGTATTTCTCATCTAAAAATTTCAATATTTGCAGTCATTAGTAGTATAAGTCAATTATTTTTCATGCCTGTCTTTTAGTATTAATAAATTTGCCTGATTGTCTTCTACTTCAGTGGTTTGATTTTGCTATTATGAAGTAGTTTCCTCTTCCTCTTCCTCCTCCTCCTCTTCTCCTCTTCTTCCTCCTCTTCCTCTCCTTCCTCTTTTTTACCTCTCCTCCTTCTCATTCTCTTCCTCTTCTTCCTCCTCTCCATTTCCTCTCCTCCTCCTCCTCCTCCTCCTCCTCCTCCTCCTCCTCCTCCTCTTCTCTTTCTTTCCCTCCTCTTCCTGCTCATCTTCTCCCTCTCCTCCTCCCCCTCCTCCTTTTCTCCTCCTCCTTCTCTTCTTCTACTTCTCTTCATCCTCCTCCCTTTCCTCTTCCTTCTCTACCTCCCCCCTCTCCTCTACTCCTCTTCCTTCTTCTTTTTCCTCCTCCTCTCCTTTTTTATAACCTGCTTTCAACAATGAATTTACTTAGTCTGTAGTAAATTTCATCTTGATCCTTTAAAGTTTTTTCTTAGTCTGCTTTGGTCACTTTCTTTGACTTTGTTGTAGTATTTTAGAAGTTCTACCCAGGCTTCAACATCTTTTTTTCCTTCTTTTTTTTTTTTTATAGTGGTGGTACTGGGGTTTAACCCTAAATGTGCTTGTTAGACATGTGTTCTACAATGTGAGTCATGCTGAACTCTTTCGTCTTGATTTCTTTTGAGATAGGGTCTCATGCTTTGCCTTGGAGCCAACCTCAGACCTCAATCCTCCTACCTGTGGCTTCCTGTGTAGCTGAGACCACAGATATGTACCACCATACCTGCATATTGGTTGAGATCGGATCTTGATTACTTTTTGTATGGATTGGCCTTGAATGGCAACTCTTTAATCTCTAGGCTTTGACAGAACAAGCATGTGTGCCACCATGCCTGACCCTTATTATTTTAAGAGGTATAAACATGAGATAGTTCAAATGATGAACAATGCCTTGTACCTCAGATATCAGGAATTATATTGCTGATGGTGACTGCAATATACATTAACATAGTTAAAAATGAAGAATTGCTGAGAGAAGAGGGGACAAAGCTTAAGGCCATTTTTACCAGGAGAATTTGATTTGGGTGAAGAATGCTGGGGGTCAGGGGAGGCCAAGCGGGCAGAGGAAGGGCCAAGGGAGACGCTGTAATCAGTGGGTGCTGAGCGTGAACCTAGGGAGACAGGACTGTGAGCAGGGTGGTGGGTAAGGTATCGTTCAGTATCTTTTTGGACTCCCTGGCATATCAAGCCTTTTCTTCGGGGTCTTCAAAAGAAATCCCAGGTCAGAGCAAGCTAAATGATGGGGTTCAGGGAACACCTGTGGATCTATGTGCCCTAGGCTGTCTGTTTCTTTCTTTTTTTTTTGCTGCTCAGAGATCCCTTAGAGGAAGAACTCACTAGGCTCTGGTATTGTCAAGATGTAGGATTCATGGGCTTCCATACCAAGGGTACAGTGCCCAGCTGAGTGCCTCTCCCACTGCAGCCCCAGCAGTGTGGAAGGTGGAGAGGTCCTGCTCAGGTCTCCATAGAAGACAGCCCTCCATCCGGGCCTTAAATGCAGTGCTGATACTCCCCCTCCACACGGCACGCCATGCTCTGCCTGATGAAGCTGTATTCTAAGCCACATGTTCTTCCTTGGGCGGGCACAGGATGGCTTTCTTCACTTACCTTTGGTTCTGGAGCTGGGAGAGACCCATGTGATGTGTGCTTTATGGGCACACACTCCTAACTTGGAGGCCCTGTATCCTTATAGGTGGTAACATGGACCTGGAAAGCCAAGCAGAGGGGAAGAAGGAGGCAGAAGCTGACGACATGCCAAGGAGTGGCCCCCGGCCCATCGTCCCATACAGCTCCATGTTCTGTTTGAGCCCTACCAACCTGTGAGTCTCCTCACTACCCACATGTGTGTTTGTCTTTCTCATCTACTTCCTGTGACCCACATGAACACAGTAGCCGATGTACAGGGACCAGTTCTACCCCCTGACTTAGAACCCAGTGACCACAGAAGTCCCATGAGGCCATTTCACTTTACAGACAAGGACCAGGGCCTTGTGGACAGACATGCAGCCAAGATGTCTTGGTGCTAGAGCTGGGCTTGGACTCAAGGTGGTCAGCTCCAGAGCCTCACTCCCTCTCCTGTAGTGTGTTCACTGCTGCACACATGGACTCCATGAGTGCCTATCACACATAACACCTCCCTCCTTCTATCCATCCTTCCTTCATTCCCATCACACACACATGCATGCATGTTTGTTGTGTGTGCCATTTTTCTGTTGTGTGTCCCCTTTCATGTGTATTTGTTATGATTCACCATCTACTCATAAGTCTGGTTCTCCAGCCAACACTCACATGCAAGCAGCATTCTAGAGGCACAGGCAGTGATGACTAGGTCAGGAACATCTGTCTTGAAGCAGGTGGGGCTGGTGAGAGAGACAGACAGCAGACAAGGGGATGGCTTGCAAGCCATGTGCAGTGGCTCACGCCTGCAACCACAGCTAGACAACAGGAAGTAGAGTAAGAGAACTGAGGTAGAAGGATTTACATAGACTAACTCATGTGTCAGGCACAGTGAAGGTTTGGGTGAGGGGGTCAGGGGAGGCCAAGAGAGCAGAGGAAGGGCCAAGGGAGAAGCTGTAATCAGTGGGTGCCTACAATCCTAGCTACGTGGAGTGGGGGTTGGGGGGCTGAAATGATGGTTCAAAGCCAGCCTGGGCAAAAAGTTTGTGAGACTCCTTTCTCAGCCAAGTGCTGGGTATAGTGCTTTTCACCTGCTATCCCAGCTTTGCCAGAAGACTGAGATCAGTCCAGCCCGGACAGAAGAATTTACAAGACTCAGTCTCAATAGAAAGAACTGAGCGTGATGAAGTACCTGTCACCCTACTTACGTTGGGAAGCCTAATACAGGGGGATCGCAGTCCAGGTGCATACCTGGGCAAAAAATGAGACTCTACCTCAAAATAACCAGGGCAAAGAAAGGCCGAAGGCATGTCTTAGTGCTAGACCTCCTGTCAAGCAAGTTAAAACTCTGAATTCAAATTCCTATACAACCACCAAAAAGAAAAGAAAAGAATGAATGAAAGAAAATGTGTGATGCCTTTCTGAAAACAAAGTAAAGCAAAAATAAATCCCAGTACTACCAAAACCAAATAAACAAGTCAGGAATGAGTGCCAGGGAAAAACAGAGTAAGAGATGGAGATGTAGCTGTCTGCTGGGGGTTAAAACTAGATGGAAAGGTTAATTGGGGTCCTCAGAGGTGAGACTGGAATAAAACTTGAAGGGAGGAAGAGTGCTCCAGGTAAAGGAAGAATCCCGCAAAAGCCAGCCTGGACAGAGCCAGGCGGGTGCTGAACAGGTCAAAGGATAGCAGTGTAGGAGTGACCATTGCTGACCTGGCCAGCTGTTCTTTATGCCTTTATTGTCCCACTCTCTCCACCCAGCCCTCCTCACACATTCTCTCCCCTTCCTGCCATTCTGTCATTTGACACACATATATCAGGAACTCAATCTGTTGTGCAAGGGTTAAAAGTAAATGGGAACAGGGGCAGATGGACTCTCTGCCCTGTTGGACTGACAATGTAGTGGGAAGGTGAACAGGTAACAGTCAAGTAAAGCATGGGGATGGCAAAGTAGGGAGGCTCTGGTGTTGTGAGACAGGTTGGAGAAAGCCAGGGGAGTTTTCACAGAGGAAGTGATGTCTTTGTTGGAACCATGAAGGAATAGTAAGAGTTAAAAAGGAAGAATGGGTACTGTTTTAGAGAAGGGTGTTACAGTGGTCCAGGACTAGAAGACAGCAGGATGGACAGGTAGCACAGGGAGTGTGTTGTCCTGGGGAAGACCTGGATGGTCACCAAAGAGGCCCCCAGAGCACGGAGGGCTGCACAGGCAGGCTCACACGTGTTAGTAGGAGAGTTGGAACAGGAGATGGTTTAGTAGGTGGCCAGGAAGTAAAGGGGATGGTTTGACCAGGGTATTCAGAATTGAGGCTTGTAAATGAAATATTTGAGGAGAAATTTTAGAGGCAGAATCTGTATAATTTGATATTAAGTTCTACATGGAAGGGGAAGGAATGTCAGTGATGACATGTTGTCATCTCCTGGCCAGTGATAGACAGGGTGTCACTGAGACCAGCAGTGACCTTAGAGGTCTGTCTGGGCTATGAGATCTAGCTAGCTGACCAATCCTGCAGAGCCAGGGCAGCTGGGGTGTCTCATGGCCAGGTGGACTGGAAGTCTGAGTCTGGGAGTATTGCCAAGGGGTAGGAACCTAGGTACAAGCTGAGTTGTGTGATGGCTATTAGAACTAAAGGCTAGGAAGTGACCAGGGATGAAGTCCGGCTGGAGGCCTGGGCCTGTGTAGAGCAGCTCTCTGAGCTTATGTAGGGTGGTGATGAAGAGATGAGTGGGGTCCCTTCAGGGAGGAATGAAGTGGGGTAGTTGCTGGAAATGGCAGACTGTGTAGGGTAGACGTTCTTGGGAATGTGGAGGAGCTTGTGGCAAGGGAGTAGCTGCCTGCGGAGGGAATTACAGCGCTTGTGATGTTTTGTGGGGCTTTCTGCCTCACTAGCCGGTCTGTGGTGGCTGCTTCTTATCCACTACCCTACTTTACCCTCCTGACCCCCGCTTGCTGCCATGGTGCCTCTTGTATCAGCAGCTGCTAGTCTCCTGCTCCCTTATCTCTGCACTGCTTGCTGGTACTTGGCTCCCTAGAGCGGAGCTTCATGAGGCCAGGTACCTGCCTTTCTTACTCATTGCTGTGCCCAGTAGATGCTCAATAATGTTGAACAACTGAGCAAAGGTCAGCAAGTGACTGAAGCAGGAGGCAAGTGGATGATGGTATGCTCACATATAGCCTTGAAAGTGTTACAAGCATGCACCCAGCACAGACTTGGACACCTACTCTAAGTCAAAGGAGGTCTACAGTCTGCAAGGGTGCTGTGGTAAAATTCTTCCCTCCACCCACCTGCTGCACACCTGTTCTGTCAAGGGTGTTGGTTCTGGGGCTGCAGACAGTTGGGAAACAAGTGGAGGGAGTTATGCTCTAGCAAAATGTTATTGACATGAAGAGGGCCAGCCTTGTAAGGCCTGGGAGCTGTGCTTGTTAAGCTGTGGCCTGTAGCTCTCACAGGAGCGTCAGACACTATCAGTCACCTGGTCTCTGTCCCTAGACCACAAAGACACTGGGAAAAGCTCCACTCTGGTGGCATACATTCCTTGGGAGAAGCCCTTCCTACAGGAGAGTCTTGTGTCTCTGGGCCCTGTGGTCACCTGTGTCTTATCTCCACAGGCTCCGTCGGTTCTGCCATTACATTGTTACCATGCGGTACTTTGAGATGGTCATTCTTGTGGTCATTGCCTTGAGCAGTATTGCCCTAGCTGCTGAGGATCCAGTACGGACAGACTCCTTCAGGAACAATGTGAGTGGCGTCAGGCCTGCTGCCAGGTTGAGGGGTTGCCACTGTGTGAGTTCCCAGGGCCCCTATCTCTTCACCATCATCCTTTCCCTCTGTGGGTATAGAACCCAAGGCCTGGAGAAGCCACCTCCTGGAGTCCCCCTTTTATTGATGTGCCAGAGTCAGTTGGGGCTGCCCTGGAGAGGGGTCTTCCCAGATGGTGTTCATTTCAGTCTCCTCCAGATTGTTGCCAACTAGCTTTTGCCTGATGATTGTCTACTCCTAGAGTGTTGGGGAAAACAGAGAACCCCTGTTGTGGTACTGGCTCTAGCTTTTCTTCCCAGCCTTTGTAAGCAATTCTCCTTTTGGTTCTAGGCTCTGAAATATATGGATTACATCTTCACAGGTGTCTTTACCTTTGAGATGGTAATAAAGGTAAGATATAACGGCTCCCATGGCCCCTGTGGAAGCATGTGGGGTGTGCACATGTGAGTGATGACACGGGGGGCCATCTGTGTGTATGGGAAGTATTCCAGGAGCAAGAGGCCCTCCTGGTCATGAAGGGCCTCTAGTCCCACAGTGCTTTGGAGCATTGACACTTGATGGGTGCATGATCTCACCGTACCTCGCTTCCGAGCATGGTTGCTATAGGCTTTGTTTAAGATGCCTGTGTGGGCTGAGCCCCTCTTCCAGGTTTGCCTGCACATGGACATGACATTGAACAGAGCACCAGGAGACTTTGGAGAGGGATGGCTAGAAGGCCTTTGGTTGCTGAGGACTAAATTTTGTTGTTGTTGACTAAATTTTGTTGTTGCTGGTGCTGGTTGTGGGGCTTGAACTCAGGGCCTGGGTGCTGTCCCTGAGCTCTTTTGCTCAAGGCTAGCATTCTACCTCTTTGAGCCACAGCACCACTTCTGGTTTTTGGGTGGTTAATTGGAGATAAGATTCCCATGGGGACTTTTCTGCCCAGGTTGGCTTTGAACTGCAATCCTCAGATCTCAGCCTACTGAGCAGCTAGAATTACAGGCATGGGCCACCTGTGCCCAGCCTGAGGACTAAATTTAAGCAGATCCAGAGTTCCTCTAATGGCAGAATGACAATCTACCATGTTATTGTAACTTTGTTTTTCCTTCTTTACAAGGTGCTCTTTATTCATGTCTGTCAGGTTTGGCCTTCATATGTTTTCACAGGTGCATGTTCAGTGCCACTGGTTGCCCATATTTGTACACATACATCAGTATACTCAGTGCCTACATGCATGCAGTCTCCTCAGGGAGCACTTTCAGGGGCACATGAGCATGATCCCACTGCTGCCCATATATGGTCAGTCTGTGATAGAGGGGGTGATAGCAGAGACTGAGGCTGAGCGTTGTTACGGTACTTACCCAAAATAACAGTGCCAGGAGTAGGAGAGGTCGGCTATGTACCAAAATGGCTAAGAATTGTCAGCAAGCTATTCTGCTGCCCTACCCTGTCCTGCCCCTTCAGGGACTGAGTGGTGTAAACTCTCTAGGAGCAATGTATCTGTTGCTAGCAATGGAGGAACAGGGAGGGACAGGGATTTCTTGTTGTAGTTGGGCTCCAGGGAAGGGAGGAGCCAGCCAGAACTCAGCTAGTCAGTTATGCACCTGGCAAGGATATCTGGCTTAGGGCCTCACTAAGGGCAGTTGACTCTGTGACCTGGATCTTATCTTCCTCTGCTGGACAGACATGAGGAAGGTGCTTTTGAGCGTCACTGGGGTGACGGGTTCAGGTGTGCACAGCCAACACACTGAATCTTGTTCAGAGAGTGACCCAGAACCACATGCTCTGCTACAGTTAGGCCTAGCTCTGCCTCTTTTCTGTATGTACTCTTGACACCCACTTCTCCCCTGCAGATGATTGACTTGGGGCTACTGCTTCACCCTGGAGCCTACTTCCGGGACCTGTGGAACATTCTCGACTTCATTGTGGTCAGTGGGGCCTTGGTGGCATTTGCCTTCTCGTAAGTAGCCACTTCTTCTTTGCATCCAGTGAGCACATCCCCCAGAATGATGTGAGGGAGGGAGGCAGATGACCCACGTTGGCCTCCCTGGCTGGCCTCCTTGTGTCTGGCCTCCCAGACACGACTGTCCTGCCTGTCTCGGCCTGGGCTATGGGATGGGAAGACTCAAGGCCCATCTGTCCTCGAACACTGCCTTTGGTCTGAAACTTGGTGGCTAGGCCTACGGGTATTTGGCATCTCCCTCATGGGGTCCTTCTTGAGGCCGTTTTCCTTCTCTGAGACAAATACCTGAGTGGGAAGCCTCTGGTGCTTTCTGTCCCAGCCAGAGCTGGTGGAAGGTTTTCCCTTACTGAGTTATGAAACCATTCCCTCTGACTCCTGACCAGGAGATGCTCAGCCTGGTGGTGCCTGGGACTAGAATGGGCTCCCCTAGAACCTGTATGGAGGAGGTGGGGCTCAGGTGGAGCCACAGATGGGGCAATATAGGGGGTTGTGAGTGTGATTTGGAGAGGAGCAAAACCTTGGTGGAGGCCAGATACTGAAGGGAAGCTTTTATTGTTTTTGGCCCCTGGGGGGACTTGCTCATAGACATGCCTTCCCTGCCCTCCCATGGCACTGACTCTGTTCTCTTTGTCTTCCTGTTGCTGGACTCTCGGTAGGAGCTTCATGGGGTAATGCCTCCCCTTCCTCTCATACTGCCTGACATCATGGCACACCCATGGCCTCTGGCTGGTCATCATGGCTTCATGCCTGCTCATCCACCTCCACCCCATCCGGGCTGCATGGTCCCTAGCCATCCCCAGCCACTGTTCCGGACATGATTAGGGGTTGGGGGCTGGGGCTGGGCTTGGTCAGCTCTTGGTGAAGAGGCTTCTAGTGAGCAGGTTGTCTTAGGTGAGTGCTGCCGGCTGAGATACCAGCTTGCAGTGGGGGCAGTAAGGGTTCTGGGTGGGGCCGGATCATGGCCTAGGATGCAGGACATACTGAGGTGTTTTTCTATGTGGCTCCTTTCTGGAAAGGAGGCTTTTTCTCAGGCCCTGCCACTCCTCTTGGTGTCTTAATAGACCTTCTTTCTGTGATGAAGGAGGTAAGAACTTAGCCAGAGTGTTGTAAAGGACCCTTGGAGCACTGGCCCCAGGTAGGAGGATGAGAAAGGTGCCATCCAATCGTGTGGTACAACGCAAGCAAGCCAAGGGAACAAAGGGAGAGGGAGACCTCTCCCAAGCCCCTCCCCCGCTTTGCCAGTACCTAGCCCTTTTCTTGGTACTGGGGGAGAACTATGGGCAGAGCAAGCTCAGTGTTTCAAGGGCAGTCTTTGTTGTTGCTGCTATTGTTGTGGGTTTTTTTGTTTTGTTTTTGTTTTGTTGGTCATGGGACTTGAACTCTGGGCCTGGGCGCTGTCCCTCAGCTCTTCAGCTCAAGGCTAGCGCTCTACCACTTGAGCCACGGCACCACTTCCTTGTCTTGTTTTTTGAATCAGACTGAACTTTTGCCTCCTGAGTGCTAGATCACAGGCATTGCTACTATTCCCACCTCTGAGACAGTGTGATCTGATTCTACAACATGTTGTTGGGGAGACGGAAGGGTTGGGGTTCAACTTCCCCTGAAAAGCCTGAGCTGTTGCTCCCTGCTGAGCCTAAAGCTTTGCTGGAGTCCAAAGGAGGCCATCAGATATATGACAACTCCACATACAGGTCTGGCCCAGAGATGTGGGCGGAAAGTGAACTGTGGAAAGGCAGGGGTAAGATTCCCTGTATGAGTGAGTGCCACTCACTAGTCCTGAGTCTCACCGAGTCAATGAATGGCCTCCTCAACAGGAGGCCTCCTTGCACTGTTGGCCTTAACTGGGGCCAATAGCTAATTTCTACTGCAAATTCCTGGGCCCCTGACTGACAGGTGTTGACTGACAGCAGTGTTGGAATCTGCTAATTTCTGGGCTCTTGACTGATAAGTGGAGGCCTCTCATCCTGCACTTCTAAGCTTGCTCTGGTACCTGAATTTTCTTTAACCGTATTTTTTTTTTTATTTTTTGTTACTGGGGATCGAACCCAGGATGTTGCTTTGCCACTGAGCTACATCCCAGCCCAACTGGTACCTGAATTTTCTTTACCTGATTTCCTGTCTCCCACCTTCACGTGAATTTTCCTGTTTGTTTCCTCCTTACTTCAGCAGTAGGGCTTGAAATCTGGCCCTCATTGGTAGGCAGGTGCTTTACCAGTTGAGCCATGTCTCCAGCTCCTTTTTGTATTCACTGGTTATTTGTGAGGTATAGTCATTTTATGCCTGGATGGCCTGGGGTATCATTCTCCTACCTGTGTTTCTCTGGGTTGCTGGGGTTGACAGGAGTGCACCATTGTGCCTAATTGTGAAAAGATGGAGTATGCCACTTCCTTTTTGCCTGGTCTGGCCTCAGGCAAATCAGAGGCCTCTGGCTTCAGAGATTGATCCCCCAATCTCTGCCTCCCAAGTAGCTAGGATTACAGGCTTGAGCCATGACACCTGGGATCTGCTGCTTTCTTGACCATCTTGGTATGTCTTTGCTTCTCTGGGGCTATTTCCCTCCACCTACTCACCCCTGCCTGTGTCATTGTCTTTGTTTTGTGTGTCTTTGTCTCTTACCTTCTCCTCTTCATGTCAGCCAGTTTTATGTTACCTGTAGGGTGCTGGGTACCTGAGGACAGGCAGCTCTGTAGGGTAGAATTCAGGCAAATGCCTTAAATGAAAAGTTGGACAGCAGCTCTTCTTCTACTTCCTGGAGAAGTCTTTCTTGCATTCCAGGGATATAGACTTTGCTGGCCCCTCATTCTTCTTTGTTGTTGGAAGCTGGTTTTGGACCTCCAGGGAGAGATGGGAATAACTACCAGGTCTGGCAGTGTAGTGTGGTCTTTTTACATTTGGGAACTCAGTTGTCCTTATGTACCAGGTGTGCTGCCCTGGTCCTGGCCTGACCCTGGTCCTACCCTTACCACTGTCCTCAGATTAGGTCCAGCCCAGGAAGCCCTAGGAGGAGACTTTTCTGTACTGGGTTCTCTACCCTGTAGCCTGAAGCAAAATGCACAGGGCAGCGTGAGCCAGACCCCCTGTACCTTGTGCCTAGGATGCTGGGCACACCCATGCATCCTGCCTGGCGATATCAGCAGCTTCTCTCTTCTAGAGGATCCAAAGGGAAAGACATCAACACCATCAAGTCTCTGAGAGTGCTGCGTGTCCTGCGACCCCTCAAGACCATTAAACGACTGCCTAAGCTCAAGGTTGGAGCCTGGAGTTAGAGCTTGAGAAGTGTGCCATGCCTGTGGGAACATGTGTTTGTGCACCTGCAATGGTGCCTGAGTGTGTATATGTGTGTGCATGAGTATGTATGTGTATTTGCCTGTATCTCTTCAAATTGCCCACCTGTTGGAGGGAGTTATGCCTACTTAGTGCTAAGCCCCTTCCCTCAAGGAAGTTTGTTTCCAGCAGTGTACTGTAAGACCCCTCTTCTTTAGTTCAGATTACCAGACAGGGCTGTTGAGCTTTCCTCAACAGCTGAAGAAGAGGGAGGAAGGGGCTGCCACAGAGGACAGGGGTGGGAGGGTGGATACTGGAAGTGAGGGGATCCAGAAGTAGTTGCTTAGCTGGGTCCTCTGGGCATAGCTGAGGAAGAATGAAAACCCAGTCTGGTCATTACTGAGCCTGTGCCATATACGAGTTGTTTTCTATACCTTAACTCATGTAATCCTCCAATTTTTTTGCAGTTGGGTATTAACAGCTTGGACATTCTTATATTAGCAGCTTAGGCAAAGTGGGAATTAGAAAAAAGTTAGCTTAGAACCCCTGTGTGAGAGGCTGGTTGAGGAAGGAACCTGGGAAGCACAGAGGCCCTTGGCCCAGGCAGGACTTGTTCCTGGGGCAGGGTACTGTGTACTGCAGGGAGGGGTACCGCACATGGGAACACAGCTGCTTTGATACACACTGATGTTGGCGTCTGGAATCTACCAACTAGCATCTCCAGAAATGGATGTGTGTCTGCAGGGTGGCCTAAGAAGCGCCTGCTTGGCTCTGAGAGCAGCACTGGTTGCGTAGGGTAGAGAAGAACCTGAGAAAAAGCCCAGGACTTGGTATCCATGGAACCAGACAAACAAACACCTTGAGACTTCAGAACTTGCCCAACATCCCTGTCCTGTGGTCCTCGGGCTGTGGTTCCATTGCTCTGTCCTCAGTCTGTACCACATTACCGCTGCTGGGCAGGAATAAGGCAGAGGTAGGGCAGGAGGCTGCCACATTTAAACTGCCCAGACCTGCTCCCTTCTGGGTCCTTTCCATGGCTTAACTGCAAGTCCAGTTTACCTGCATGTTATACCTCTTGCTTACTCACCAGGCTAGGGTGACCCCTGTCATCAGAGAAAGACAGTGTCCCTTATTTTGTCAGGGCAGCTGGCAGTAGTATGTTATGTGGCCACAGGCCTGAGGGTCTTACAGAACCCTAAAATGTCCCCGAGGGCCTGGGTCTCAGTGGTTCTGAGGTTCTAAGTCTGTAGTTGCCCTACCCTGTTCCCTCTTCCAATCCCCTCCATACCCTTTCCTGACCCCCTGCTTCTCCCTTTGGCTCTCCTCCTTCACAGCTCCCTCCTTCCCTCAGGGCTCTATTTGGCCATAGTAGCTCTCCTCCTTCTGTCCCCTCTCCTCTGTTGTGATTGTGTCTCTCCTTATAGTACCCTGTCATTCCTCATGACCCTTCCCTGGTGCTCCTCTTTCTTCACAGCTCTGCCCCCTCCTCCTTTGCAGGCTGTGTTTGACTGTGTGGTGAATTCCCTGAAGAATGTCCTCAACATCCTCATTGTCTACATGCTCTTTATGTTCATATTTGCCGTCATTGCAGTACAGCTCTTCAAAGGGAAGTTTTTCTACTGCACTGATGAATCTAAGGAGCTGGAGAGGGACTGCAGGTAAGCTCCAGGATGCAGAACACACCTCTGTTCCCTCAGGACCAGGTGGGGCTGGGAGATGCCCTTGCAGTATGAAGCTAGGTAGCCTGGTTCAGATGTGCTCATGCTACAGAAGAGAGGGGAAGGTGCCTCCTGTCTCCAGAGTTATGCCAAAGGTCTGTAGCATGTCCTCCACAAAGAGGACCTAGGCTCCAAGGAATCCGCTAGGCCTCTCATGCCTTCAGACACCCAAGGAGCTCAGGATATTGCAGGGAGCTCTTTAAACTGTAGACAAAGGTCTAGGTTGGACAGTTCAGAGGACTTGTCCTCAGGGTGTTGCAGATCTTCTTGGGCTTGGACTTAAACTCAAGACAGGAGAGGTGCCCTCTGCGGGGAGCTAGGCAATGAAGGGTTAGGTTGTGTACACACTGAGCAAGGTTGTGTGGACAATTCCTTCCCATAGTGAAGTTCCCATTGTCTCTGGTTGTGTGGGTGTCATATAGCTTCATGGTGGGTGGGCATTTGGATGGTTCTCACACAGGTCTGAACATTGCTACTGTGAGTGTCCGAGGGGCACATTTCTAGGAGGTTTTCTCCAGGAGGGTGTCGCAGGCTATGCCTTGTCCATCTTTAGTGATGCTACCAAGCACTTTATATCAAGTGGTTCCTCACCATTATGGGTGAGAGCGTCCGCTGCCTGCACTCTTGTCTACTCTTACGTTCCCTGCCTCTGATAGCCAGTGAGGTTGAGCCACTTCTCTGGCTGGACTGACCATTAAGATGGGCAGTGTCTATTCAGGTTCTTTTGCTCATTGTCTTGTATAGATTGTCTGATTTTCTGCTTAATTTGAAGAAATTCTCTCATGTGTTAGTTGACATTTTTGCCCATTGATTTGAGGATAAATGTCTTTTTTTGTGGGGTGCATTTTTGCTCAATCAGTGATGTCTTTTATTGTTAAGAAAAGGGTGTTTCTGTGTGGCCCAGGCTGGCATTTGTATTCATATAGTCCACCAAGGCTTGCCTCCAACTTGAAATCCTCCTGCCTCAGCTTCCTAAGTGCTGATATTAATGGATATGTGTCACCATCCCTGGTTAGGTGGTCTTTTAAATTCCTTTTTAATCTAACCTCTCAGCAGTGTTAATTCTGACTGTATGAGAAGCACCATTTCTGGGTGTTTCTGTGAGGGGGTTTCCAGAGTGGATTAATTCTCAAGGCAGGAAGACCTGCCTTGAATGTGGATGGCACCATCCACTATGCTGGAGATCTAAAGGATGTATTACAATAGAATGCTGACTAGTGTAGGCATTCTGTCTTTCTCTGCTTCCACAGAACCATGAGGTGAGCTTCTGTGCTCTGCTCTGCTCTGCCCTCCCTGCGTGGTGGACTTAAGCCTCTGAAGCTAGAAGCCAAATGAGTCTTTCCTCCTTTGAGTTGCTTGTCTTGAGCATTTGTCACAGATGGGACCAGGGAGGCGGAGTCATTGCTCTGATTACCTAATGATGTGGTTCAGAAGACTTTGGAACTGATTTGTGACAAAAATTTGGAAAAATTTGAAAAGTTAAGCTAGAGAAGGCCAAGAAACCTATAAGAAGAACGTAGAGGTGTCCAGAATGCTTATAGGGAAGTGGATAATCAAGATTCTGCCCATGAGGTTTTATTTTTTTTTTAAAGTTATCTTTCAATAGTTGTACAAAGGAGTTGAAATTTAACAAAGCACTTTTATCAATACACGGCATCTTGATCATTGTTGCTCCTTTCAACATTCTCCCCCATCACTTTCAACCTACCCCTTCCCTCTTTTATAGTTTTTTAATGGCTTTAAAAATTTTAAATTGTTACTATACAGGTGATGTGCAGGCAGGTTACAGTTACATAAGTTGAGTAAAGAGTACATTTCTTTTTTAGTTTTTCTTCAATTAAAAAATTATTGTTGGGCTGGGAAGGTGGCTCAGTGCAGTCCTGGGTTCGACTCCTCAGCACCACATAAGAAAAAGAAAAAAAGCCAGAAGTGGTGCTGTGGCTCAAGTGGTAGAGCACTAACCTTGAGCTGAAGAGCTGAGTGACAGTGCCCAGGCCCAGAGTTCAGGCCCCACGACCAGACCCCACCCCAAAGAAAATGATTGTTAAGGTAATGTACAGAGAGGTTGCAGTTAACTTAAGTCAGGTAATGAGTACACTTCTTCTTGAACAGTGTCACCTCTTCCCTCCCAGTTTTTTTCCCCTCCTGATCTCCCTCTCCCATAAGTTGTTCAGTTCATTTTAAACACTGCTGAATTAGTTTACCCTTTGTCACACCATTTCTGTGCTTCCCCGTCCTCTCCCCAAATTGGATAAACTTAAATACAAGGTAAAGAAATAAAAAAAAACAGCTACAAAAGGGGGAAAAACAGAAAAAAACCCACAAAAATTGAAATGTAAAACCCCTAATATTAGCAGGGCACCAGTGCCTCCACCTGTAATTCTAGCTACTCATGAGGCTGAGATCTACGGATCACAGTTCAAAGCCAGCCTGGGCAGGAACATTCATGAGACACTTATCTCCAATTAACCACCAGAGAACCAGAAGTGTCACTGTGGCTCAAGTGGTAGAGCACTAGCCTTGAGCTGAAGAGCTCAGGGAAGCACCCAGGTCCAGAGTTCAAGACCCACGACTGACAAAAACAAACAAGCAAAAAAAACCCCTTTAATATTTCCATTTCTTGGAGTTCATTTCAATAAGCCTCATTTGATATGATTATATGCACAAAGTTATTGAGCCTTTGTGATTCTCTCCTAAGAATATCCTCCTTTGGTCTTACTGTGTGAATGTTTAGTTTATCTTGTTCAATTTATCATGTCCAAGTGTACTTTTTTGTCTTTTACTATCCATTATGTTTACTTACAGATTTTAACTACTAAAGATGAGGGAAACTGTTCAACCTATGTTTCTTTGGCTCTGGCTTACTTCACTTAATATATTTTCCCCCCAAGTCTTTCCATTTCCTTATGAATGGGGCAATATCATTCTTTCTGATTGAAGCATAGCATTCCATTGTGTATATGTACCACATTTCCTTGACCCATTGTTCCACTGAGGGGCCTCTGGGTTGATTTCATATCTTGGCTATGGGGAATAATTTTTTATTGTTATTATAAAGGTGATTTACAGAAGGGTTACAGTTACATAAGTCAGGCAAGGAGGACATTTCTTTTTGGACAATGTCACCCTTTCCCTCACACTCCCCCAGTTTTCCCCTCCCATCCCTTTTAATGGCTTTTATAACAGTTTTAGCATCTATATTTAGGTCTTTTGTCCATTTTGGGTTGTATTTATATATGGAAGGAGGAGAAGTCTAGGTTTATTCTTCTGTATCCAGAATGACTAGAAATTTGCTTATGCTGGCACCATCTGTTAAAAAGAGCCTATTCTTTCCACATAGAATGGTATTAGTACTCTTTTAAAAAATCTACTGCCCAAAGATACATGAGTGTATTTGGACTCTTTTATCTTTAACCTTTGTCTTCTCCAATGTTCTCATTCTCAGGGGTCAGTACTTGGATTATGAAAAAGAGGAAGTGGAAGCCCAACCAAGACAATGGAAGAAATATGACTTCCACTATGACAATGTACTCTGGGCCCTGTTGACGCTGTTCACGGTGTCCACAGGAGAGGGGTGGCCCTTGTGAGTGTCTGTTCTGCTTGTTGTGGCTGGTTAGGCCAGACAGAGCAGGGTGCCCTGAGCTTGGCCTTCCTTCCCTCAGCATGGTGGGACCCAGGCATAGAGCATACCCCTATGATAGCCCTGCAGTTCAGGCCCTGAGCTACCTGGGAAGCTCTCTAAATGCTTGCTCTCCTCTTGGGCAGGGTGTTGAAACATTCTGTTGATGCCACCTATGAGGAACAAGGACCAAGCCCTGGGTTCCGCATGGAGCTGTCCATCTTCTACGTGGTCTACTTCGTTGTCTTCCCCTTCTTCTTTGTCAACATCTTTGTAGCCTTGATTATCATCACCTTCCAGGAGCAGGGGGACAAAGTGATGTCTGAGTGCAGCCTAGAGAAGAATGAGGTAGGTAGAGGTACCATGGGCTTTTGGGATTGGCTCTGTGGGCGGGACCAGTAAGCTTCCTTTCTGCGCAGGCATTGCTCATGGGCTGCACAGGCAAAGTCTCCTTTCTTCTGTAGATGGCGACCACATTTGCCCTGTGGAGCCTACTTAGAAGATGTCCTGCTGCCTCTTTGCCTTCTACCGTTGGCTCCCTGAGAGAGGGTAGTTAGATGGTACCAGGTACAGTGGGCACTGTGGGATTGGCCCACCCTAAATTGATGGTGCTCCTTCTCCCCATGCAGAGGGCTTGCATTGACTTTGCCATCAGCGCCAAGCCCCTGACACGGTACATGCCCCAAAACAAGCAGTCGTTCCAGTATAAGACATGGACGTTTGTGGTCTCGCCTCCTTTCGAGTACTTCATCATGGCAATGATAGCCCTCAACACAGTAGTGCTGATGATGAAGGTATGTGGGTCCCACCATGGTGAGGGACTGGCACCTGCTGATGGGTAGGTCCAGTTCCGAGGCTGGGTCTAGACGGCTATCCTCCTTCTTGCTGGCACATTCCAAAGCTGTAGTAGTCTCGTGTCCTGGCCAGCACAGAATGCCTGTGGGATATTCTGCCTTCTTTTGTCTGTGGCTGAGGCAATAAGAAGGTCTGGGAAAAGCAGGTTCAGGAAGAACAGGGAGAAATATCCTAGGTATGGGCAAATATGGAGCTCTGCACGTGTTCTGTGTGCATAGGGACCCATAGTGGGCCCAGGTAGGGTGTTTGGGGTGTTGTGCCCTTGGACAACAGTGCTTATTCCCCGGGCAGTTCTACGACGCACCTTATGAGTATGAGCTGATGCTGAAATGCCTGAACATCGTGTTCACGTCTATGTTCTCTATGGAATGTGTGCTGAAAATCATCGCCTTTGGGGTGCTGGTATGTGCCTCACCGAACTCCGTGCCTTTTGGTGATCTTCATTTGGAGTCCCCCTTTATTGGGAAAGGTTGGGGCCTCACAATTTGGAGTCAGAAATCCCCCAAACCCCCAACACAACCCCATGAGGCTCTAGGGGAAGGCTGCTTTGACACTCTCAGCTGCCTGAGTCCTGCTCCAGCCTCAGTCCTGGTTGGCAGGTCCAGAACTCTCCTCTCTGGACACATGGCTCAGGTTTGCATCTGTCCGGGTGGAGGTATCTGAATGCTTGGCCCTGGCACCTGGTTGTCACTAGACTTGTATTGAGCATCTATTACCTCTCCCCCTTCTTGTTGGGAGCCAGCACCCACAGCTCCTTGCCTAGCTGAGACCTTGTCAGTCCACAGCACTGACTGCCCTCTTTTTCTGTAGAACTACTTCAGAGATGCCTGGAATGTATTCGACTTTGTTACCGTGTTGGGAAGTATCACTGATATTTTAGTAACAGAAATTGCGGTAAGTAACATTTCCTGTCCTGCTCAGTCACTCCAAAGTGACTCTTCTCAAGGGTCCTCCCATCAGCATGTACTTGGGCCCTGACTGTGTTGGTGGCCTCCTCTCCAGAGGTGGATCTGGGGTCAGGTGTTGTGTTGGTAGATGTCCTTCTTAGAGAGAAAGGTCTTCTAGGATTACCTGGAACTTGATGGTAACAGCCAATGTCTAATGTGTATGTTTTCAACAATATATACAAAATCTAGTAATAATTAAAAATAAATTGTATGGATATGGCATATGAAAGCATGTGTGTATCTCTTCATCTGGAGATATTCTGATCAAACACATTATGCCCGGATTATAACTAAAATTGACCAGTGCTAGGACATTAACTCATTTCAACAGATTTCCAAGAATTTGAATCATAAAGCAACATTTCTTGAGTGCAACATGTTAATTTGGAAACAAATAGCAGAAAAATCTCATCTCTAGGAACAGACATTGAAATTAAGAAGCTGTTTCTTAAGAAAAACTGGGAAGTAGTTGGGGATAGGATGAGGATGAGAAATGCCACATCTTGAGCCAAGTCAGGATGTATATGGACTTGACTTGTCCCCAAGTGCGTTTGAGATAGGGTAGGTTTCCCTCAGATGTCTCTGCTGAGGGAAGGCAGCTATGGGATTTTTACTTCTGCACTGTGTGGGGTTAAGGTCTGCATCAAGGGTCAACCCACAGACTGACTAGGTCCTTGGAGTGCATGTATGCTAGCACCTATGTTTTTGGGCTGAGGGCCTCAGGCAATGTTTTCGTGGGATTGTGCTCAAGTGCAAGTTTCGACATGGCTTTTCTATCTACACCACAGGAAATAGCTGAAGAGGCTACAAAGGCATGCAGAAAGTGAGACAGGGAGGGTTTGGCCAAAGTTATTGTCTAGAACATACACGTCTCTTCTGTGAGTCAATAAAAACACAACATGAAGTTGGGCACTGGTGGATCATGTCTAATTCTAACTACTCAGAAGACTGAGATCTGAAGATCTCAGTTTGAAGCTAGCCCTAGCCAGAAAGTCCGAGAGACTCTTACCTCCAATTAACCAGCAAAAAAAACCAAAACAAAACAAAAAACAGGTGGAGGTGGGACCATGAGCAAAAAAACTGAGCACGGATGCAAGGCCCTGAGTTGTTGCCCTAGTACAACCCCTCCCCCCCCCAAAAAAAAAAAAACCAAATGAGCAGAAGGGAAGATTGGATGTTTTACTGAATAGAAAGCATACACTGCCAATTTATATAGGACAAGATGCTCTACTGCATTTGTAGCCAGAGATATTGTTAGGATGAGGCCAGTCTAACAGTTCCAAATATTGACAGAAATGGGGGTTGCCCAAAACATTGCCACATAGGGGGTATCTTGACTGGTACAACATCTCTAGAGAAGTTGAGTTGTAGCTAGAGAAGTTGATGTTCATACTTCCAAGTCAGCATCTTACTTGGATGTTTCTGGAGGTTTTATTCATCATGGTAAGCAACACTGAGATAACTAAATGATATCTGTTAGCAATAGAATGTGTCAATCAGTATATTAATACAGTGAAAACAACAGTGCAAATACAAATTTGACATCCACATTAGTATGAATGCTTTTCAGATAGTGTTCACTGTCAGAATCAAGTCAAAAGAGGTTTTGGACAAGCTACTATTGCAAAGATTAAGAATAGACAATCATACAACATGTCTTACAAGTTTATGATAAAACCATAAGATCAAGGACTTAGTGACGAGAATTAAGGATGTTGCTACATCCAGAGACCAGGGAGGGTACTGGAAGGACTTCAGAAGTAATGGTGATGCTCTGCTTTTTAAGCTGGGTGATGAATATACTGGTATTTGTCTTACTGTTTTTCATACTTATTTTTTGGTTGTGCAGTGTTAATGATGTGAGCATTACAGGAAGAAAATCTGAACTCGTCCATTTAGACAGAGAAGCCAAGGCTGTTTTGTTCTATCAGCATCTGATATTGTGATCTCTCCCAGGTTGTTAGTGCTCTCCCAGAAATGTTAGTCCGTATTGCAGGCCAGATCACGTTGTGGAAACAGGGATGTTTACTCACCCAGACAGAGTGATTCAAACATCAGATTTGTAGTAGAAATATAACTTTGTGGGCTGTTTGCATGTGTATGTCTCTTTTCCAAGAGAGGGGTCTAGACTCCTGACTGCTAAGGGCATAAGAGGAGGGGTACAGTTAGGGCTGTAGAGATGGGCTTCAGGCAGAGGCAGCAGCCAAAACAACCTGGCATTCTTCCCCTTCACTTCTGCATGGTTAGCCAGGGCAGCTTGAAACTGAAGCAAGGTGTCGGGCCTGACTTGAAGCAAGTACTCACTGGCAGCCACTTCAGCCTTGGTGCACAGTAGGGGTAGGGGGAAATAGGATTGTTTGAAAGCTGAGCATTTAAACCGTTAGCGACAAGACATCTATTATGATCTGCCTAGAAGAGAAAAGATGGAGTTCATCATGTGGGTTGGTGTTGTTATTTGTTTGTTTGTTTTTCATTTGGAGCCACCTCATATGTTTTCTTTGCTAATGCACTTTTTTTTCTTAGGCAAAAATATGAGTGTCAGTTCTCATCCCCAACCTAAAAATCAAAATAGAGCAATGGTCTTAGTAGCAAGGGTCCCTAGGGAAAGGTCTCCACCCGTGTTTAAACTGACATTGATTTCTTTGCCTAGAAATAAAAAAAAAAAAATAAGTGTTTGTGAATCATCTTTGGATTTGCATTACAAATAAGAATGCAAATGAATGTCACTCTGTCTGCATAACCTATGGATTTCAAAAATAAACTCTGAATTGATACATTTTAAGAAAATATATGCCATTTACAAAACCTTAAAATTTTTAGCTAAGTATTCAGAATTTGAGTTTTTGCTTGTGTTGATGACTCATTTTCTCTTTTGTTTTCTGTTTTTGTTCTTGATTTACCTTAACTTACCTGCTGACTCACGCCATTCAACCAACATACACTGCGAAAACTCATGTCTCCGTCTGTATGTTGCGCACCTGCTGCTCAAACCACCCCAATTTGTAAATAATATGCCAATACCCATCCATGAAAACATCATATATAGGAAACGGTTGGTTTCATGACTTTTAAACAGTTCTTACTTGCTCTGCCTGCTCTGATCCTCATTTCTTGTTTCCGGGACTCCTGCCACTATCCTCTGATATGAGCTGTATTCTGTTGCACTCACTTCTGGCCTCTGTGCTCTCTTCCCAGCTTCCAGGGTCCAACAAGGGCTTCTTAGGGGCACCTAGGAGCTGTTTGAATTTGGGGACCTATCAAGATAGGAGGTGGGGTTCTTGATGTGGGTGATGCCCAGACTGAGCCCAGCTTGAGAGGCTTTGTAGGATGAGATTGGTTTTGGTTCCTGAGAGCCTGTGGTTTCTGTTGCACAGTCTCTTTCCCTCTGCTGTAAACCTGCTAACACAGAGAGAAAGCCCATCTTTGCCCAGGTAGTCTCTGGTAAAGACCTCTGTCTAACCTTTCTTTCCTGCACAAGCCCTGTCTTAAGTGGATCAAGTGTGAGGCCTAGGGGAGTGTTTTGAGATTGGATTCTGTGATTTACATGGTTGTTGGGCAGAGCTTGAGTAGAAGGAGGGGTCTGTGCCCTGTATATCAGAAGGCAGGACTCTTCATCTATACCATTTGTGTATCACTGATCCAGCGCTCTTATGCAGTGCACTACAAAGTGCAGGTCTTCTAGGTATTCAGGAAGTTAGAGAGGAGAGGAAGGGTGTTTTCCAGAAACTTAGCTTCATCTGTGGCTATGGAAATTCATTTACAGGAGCAGATATTTGGGATTCCTGTTGTAAAGGATAAATGTTTGTCAAACATAGTTGTTTAGATAGAATGGCAAGAAGACCATAATCAGTGCTGACGAAATGCGCAGGATGTTTTGTCTGCATAAGCTTCAGCTAAGTCCAGGCAACCCTTCCTGCTCACCTGTTCCTTGTCCTCCATCTCATAACACAGATGATCACTTGATGCAGTGATATATTCGTATACACACTTTTTTTTTCTCCTTAATCCATCAGCCCCATTAGAATGAAAGCAAAAAAGCAGTTTGTTGCCAGGCACCAGTGCTTCACGCCTGTAATCCTAGCTACTCAGGAGGCTGAGATCTGAGGATTGCGGTTCAAAGCCAGCCAAGGCAGGAAAGTCTGTAAGACTCTTATCTCCAATTAACCACCAGAAAACCAGAAGTGGTGCTGTGTCTCAAGTGGTAGAGTTGAAGAGCTCAGGGACAGCACCCAGACCCAGATTCAAGCCCCATGAGACTGACAAAAAAGAAAAAAAAAGTAGTTTGTTTAGGAATTCAAGACCTCATCCCCAGGTATAGCACATGACTAGTAGATGTCCATAGGTCTAGGCTGAATGCCCACGTACATTCAGGAGAAAACTTGCGTTGGCTGAGGACTAGGAGCATGGTCTCGGGTGGGCATCTATACTTGTGAAGGGTTGTCGCACAGCACTCAGCATACTTCTAAGTCAAGTATTCCTTTGTCGCCTGAGCATGGGTATTTTTGATGTCTCTCAGGATGTGGGCGAGGAAATTGATGATACAAAGGTTAGGGACAGCTGTCTCTTTGAGGTAATCCACCCTCACATTAGGGTTGCCTATGACTCAGTGAGATGCCAGCAAGGACAGGACAGCCTGGAAGTCAATGCAGCTACTTCCTGTGCAGCAGAAGCCATGGGTCCTGGATAGACTGGGCAGGCATGTCCAAGATACTGGCTGAGGTCAGAGGTGACAGTGCATGGTGTACAGCCGTGTGCTTGCTGTCCCCTGCCACCCTGCATGTGACTGGCATGGTGGCACCTGGTCTGTCCCCCTGTGCTTGGGCATCTGTGGATGTTATTGTCATCTGTCTTCACAACAGCCTAGGGCTGCCTGTGTATTGCCACCCTCACCCTCTCCCCAGTACTGTACTGAGCCCAGAAGAAGAAACCTGGGAGGGGGCATGGGAGCCTGGCCTCAACAAAAGCAGAGGGGACCATGGCTGGGTTTTGCATTTGCTCATAAAGTGAGCTGCTGTTCTTTATAATGCCTTTTCATCTACCCAGTGGTTGTCTATGCCCTCTTTCTTAGGAGGGAGCCTTTATTCCCCCCCCCAATTTTCATGGAGTCTTATCAGTTTCAGCTGTCTGAGTGCAGACTGCTTTGGGAGGTGGGACAAGTGTATATTATAATAGTCCCTGGAACAAGGTGGTTTCACAGTGGGGGCAAGGCCCTTGTTCCCCACCTTACTCTGTCATTACGTCGGACACAACATTGTACCCCATACACAGTGCCTAGTTTTGTGGGCTCATCTATGTGTGCTCAGGGCCAAGAGTGGTCTGTCTTACCACAGACAGCATCCTTCGTTGGCCCAACCAGGTTAGAGAGCTGCAGGAATTAGCCATACACATGCCCTGTCCTAAGGCCAATTTCTGCCTCCTTGCTGATTTGGACATGATTGGGTCCCTCTGTCCATTGACCTTTCTGCGTATTGTTCAAAATTGGTCACTTCCAGGGTTCCAACACCCTGCCCGAGAATCAATCTCTGCAAGATATCACAGAAATCCTGCTGGTGGGAACCACAAAACCTGTCCCTGAGAGTGGAAGCTGTGGACAGAACATCAGTGACCCTTAATGTATTAGTTGGGTCACTGTCCTTGGAGGTTAGGAGTGACACCCAGCCCTCCACTAAATGCCTCACCCAGCTAAGTCACATGGCCTTGAGATGTCTTCCCAGGTTTCCAGGGCCTCTGTGCATGCATGCGCTTTCCTGCTCTGCTCTCACCCTACATCTGTATTCTCTTTCCTCTTTATTTGGTGAGTGAATCTGACAACACAAACATGTTTAAGCCTGAGATTCTTGCATATTTGAAAATGCAAAATGGTAGGAAGCTGTTCTCAGACTGCGTGCAAAGAGTCAGAAAGCACTGGGCTTCACAAATACAGCCACCTATGCCTGGACATGTTCTTAGATCCAGATCCCCTGAGAAGGGCTTCCTAATAATTCAAGTTACCTGGGGCCTGGGGAAGCCTCACTTCCAGGTAAACTATGGAGCCTTAGATTTATCACTTCACCTTTGTGCTTGGTTTTAAGCCCTTGGATTGAGAGAGCATCAGTAGGCATCCTGAGTTCTCTAGAGCAGAGACCTATGGACTGTGGGCTGGACAGGTGGTTTCTGTACTAAGAACAGCAGGACAACCATACCTGTCCCTTCTGTGAATGGCAGATAAGACCTGGAACAGCCCCAGAGAAGGCCAGCCAGGGTCCCAGGCAGGGGCTTCCCTAGACCCAGGCAGGGGTCCTACAGGAGAGGAAGTCCTCATGCCCAGCACCTGGAGAGCTTGTACTTGTCCTATAAGAAGCGGAGGCTTATAGGTCATCTCCTGGGACCACCTGGCAGCAGGGAGCTGCTTCGAAAAGACTTTGTCTCTCACATGTTGGGAGTGATGGTAGTCCTAAAGTAGAGGAATTTTCTCTGATTTGTTGCAAGAAAAATAACTTGCAAGGACAAGCTTTTCTTTTGGAAGGTTTTCTGGTGGCCACTTGTTGCTTACACTATGAAACAATGACTATTTTGATTTATTTTTAGCCACTTTTCTTTGGGGGTTCACAGAGACTTGGGGAGGGGTTGTGTGGGGGTAGAAGCAGCTTGCCTGCACTTTTGGAGGTCAGAGAACAATCTCCCTTCTTTGCAGAATAACTTCATCAACCTGAGCTTCCTTCGCCTCTTCAGAGCTGCACGGCTCATCAAGTTGCTCCGGCAGGGCTACACCATCCGCATTTTGCTGTGGACCTTCGTTCAGTCCTTCAAGGTGGGTGGGCGCCTTAGCATCTACACTTGGTGGCTTCTGCTTTGCTTCTTTCACCAGGCTCCTCTGGCCCCTGCCAGGCGGCCCCTCCTCTGGTTGGCTGAGTGGGGGCAGGTTGTGTAAGTGGTTGGCACTTGTCCTATTACAGTTTATAAAGATGTTTTGGGAGTTACGTAGATTGTCTTGTTAATGCCCACAGAAACGCTGAGGTAAGTTTTATGGCCCCAATTCATAGATGGAGAAGCACAGCCAGTCACTTGGTTGAGGGCTCAGTGGGGTGGGGCTGGGCTGGGCTGAGATCTGTGTGGCTGCAGATGCTCTGGAGCTGATGTGCCTGTGTATCTGCAGGCGCTGCCCTACGTGTGTCTTCTCATTGCCATGCTGTTCTTCATCTACGCCATCATCGGCATGCAGGTGGGTGCCGTCGTCCCAGATGGGGTTGAATATGGGGCTCTTATGCACTGGGGCATAAGGGTCTGGTGCAGTCATTAAATGATCATAGTAAGTTGATATATCGAATGTTGGCTGTGAGCCAGATCCTGGTGTAAGCGTTGAGTGAACTTAATCCTCAGCAATACCTCTCTCTAGAGGAGGACATAGACATCCCACAAAATGGGGCTTCTGAAGTCCAGCCCTCAGGCTTCCCCCACCTCCCCATTAAGCTGTACTGCACTGTTCTTAGGGGCTGAGGCACATGTTGGGTTAGGCATTGGGGCATTGATGCATGGTGTCAAGTGGCCTAATATTAGACCATTTTCTTGGCCTGAAGCCACTCTGAAGGGCAGCCCTCCCTGTCTTTCTAGGAGGTCATATGCCCTTGAAGCCCTGCCTGAGAGCAGGGGCAGGGTCCATCAGGTCACTGCACTCATCATTGCTTACATTTTCTTGATTTTGGTAAAGAATATTGTGTCAACTTTTGGGAAAGTTACTTAAAAGATATAAAGAACCAATAAACCTTGGCCACTTCCCGACAGAGGCAGTAGGAGAGGTACTATGTTTTAGTTTGTGATGGAAGGTTCCAGGTTTTAATGTTTAGTTGTTTCCTAATACTTTTATTGCTGACAGAAAAGTTCTCTTGATTTAAACATTTTTATTTTATTTTTGTCGGTCATGGGGCTTGAACTCTGGGCCTGGGCACTATCCCTCAACTCTTCAGCTCAAAGTGAGCGCTCTACCACTTGAGCCACAGCACCACTTCTGGTTTTCTGAGTGATTTATTGGAGACAAGAGTCTCATGGAGTTTCCTGTGTGGGCTGGCTTTGTACTGTGATCCTCAGATCTCAGTCTCCTGAGTAGCTAGGACTACAGGTGTGAGCCACCAACACCTGGCAGATTCAGACATTTTTGAGATGTTATTTAAAACCATAACAACACATACATACACACACATATATAATATTGCTTTGGTCAGCTGATAAACAAGAGTATGTATAACATGGCTCTTTGTGGGAATGTGATAGATTACAAATTTTCAGCTTGATTCAAGACTTTAGGCCAAGTATGGCTCTTGATTCATTTGCATTTCTTACACTGAAGGAAATAATTTAGAATGGATAGAAAGCCCACTGTGTTATTTACACAGAGGTTATGATATATCACAAGGTAATGCCAAGGTAATGACTGCTTCGGAGTTGTTGATAAGAGTGACTTGAATGCTTCCTGTCACACAGAGGGTAGTGCTTGGCTCATTTGGCCTGGTCGCTCGCACTGGGGTCTGTGAGCAGCTCAGAGCTGGAGCTCCATGTTCCAAGCTGTGGGTGTGTTCTGCTAGTAGAGGTTGCCTGAGCTGAAAACCACATTGGCTCCTGTCAACGCTTGTCCTTTGTGGGGTTCCCCACATTGCCACCTGCACCCTGTCTTGCCTGCCTGTAGTCTGCTAACCATAGCTTAGGGCCAGCAGTGTCCACACTCTACTGTTCTTCATCTCAGGTCTTTGGGAACATTGCCCTTGATGATGACACCAGCATCAACCGGCATAACAACTTCCGGACGTTCCTACAAGCTTTGATGCTGTTGTTCAGGTATGTCAACACAGACTGTCCGCTGTTAGGATGGAGGAAGGTGGATGCCATCGATGGGGGCTGCTCCCTTCCAGTCTCCAGATCATGATGGTTCCCCTCCATTTCTTCCCTTCTCTGCTCATCCTTTCCAAAGTACTCTTTATGTCTTCTCTGGCCCCAGAACAGACAGGAAAGAAGCCTCTAAGGGAAAGAACCTAGGCTCCCTGGGTCAGGCTGGCCTCCGTTTCATTATTTATGCTTCCTGGTGACAATCAAAATGTGTCCAGGAAGGCTGCAGTCTGGGAGGATAGGAGGTGCCTGGCAGGTTCTCTTTTAATGTGGTGGCCTCAAGCTTTCCATGTTCTCATTGGGATTGTTGGGCGAGGGAAAAGCCAGATAGCAGTGGCAACTGCTGTTGACAGAGCTTGTGGCTACTCCCTGTCCTGAAGAACTAAACTGGCTGAGATGAGTGATCTCACACTAGTGTGTGCCTCCACACTCTGCCCTCTGTCATCCCCAGGTTCCAGGATACAGCCAGCAGGACAACAGGTACAATGTAAGGGCAAGGGCAAGTCCTCAGCAAGCTGTGGGGCCTCCAGAACGCTGCCCCTCTGCAGAGGTACACTCAGGAGAAAGCTCAGCACTAGCTTCCATCCCCGGGCTTGGTCATGCACTGTAGACTGGACATCCACCTTTCTGGTCTGAGAGTTGAATGTGCGGACAAGAGGGAGGAATGTTTGTATTTCCCTGCCTCCTTTGTCTTCCCTCCTTCCTTCCTTCCTTCCCTCCTTCCTTCCTTCCTTCCTTCCTACCCTCCCTCTCTTCATCCCTCCCTCCCTCCCTCCTTCTTTCCCTCCCTCCCAGTTCTTTCTTTCTTTCCTTCCTTCCTTTTTTCTTTTGTGGTTGTGGGGCCTGAACTCTGGGCCTGGGTGCTGTCCCTCAGCTCTTCAGCTCAAGATGAGTGCTCTACCACTTGAGCTACAGTGCCACTTCTGGCTTTTTCTGCTAATGTAGTGCTGAGGAATCAAACCCAGGGCCTCATGCGTGCAAGGCAAGCACTCTACCACTGAGCCACTTTCCCAGCCCTGCTTTCTTGCTTTCTTTCTCTTTGTTTTTGGGCTGGTCTTGGGGCTTGCATTCAGGGCCTGGCCACTATCCCTGAGCTTTTTTTTAAGCTTAAGGCTAGCACTCTTCCACTTGAGCCACAGCTTGACTTCTGGGTTTTTGGTGGCTAATTAGAGATAAGAGTCTCATGGGCTTTTCTGCCTAGGCTGGCTTCAAACCAGGATCCTCATATCTCCATTTCCTGTGTAGCTAGGATTACAGGTGTGAGCTACCAATGCCTAGCTTAGTCTTTATTTTTCCACCCATGATCCTATTTCTTTTTTTTTGGGGGGGGGTCCGGTCATGGGGCATGAACTCTGGGCCTTGGTGCTGTCCCTCAACTCTTCAGCTCAAGGCTAGCACTCTACCACTTGAGCCACAGCGCCACTTCTGGCTTTCTTTCTTTTTGCTTGTGTGGTGCTGGGGAATCGAACCCAGGACCTCAGGCATGCAAGGCAAGCGCTCTACCACTGAGCCACCTTCCCAGGCCCCACCCATGATCCTAGAACAGAGGAAAATAGAGATCCACAATGTAGTCTGATTCATGGACCATGCTTTGAAGTTCCTTGATGTGTCACCATATTTATTCCTTTAGAAAGGGCATCAGGCTCTTGCAAGGCGAGCCCTAGGTACCCCACCCCTCCACACCTGGCCTGTAGACCACCTCAGGCTTATGGAGTTACCTGGGAGGGGGGTAAATGGGGACTCAGACCCACTTTGCCAAGCTGCCTATAGAGCACATCTTTCTTACTTCAATCCTTCCTTCCTCTGTTCCTTCTTTCCTTTCTTTCCCTTTCATACTGAAGTTTGAACTCAAAGCTTTGTGCTGAGTGGGCACTCTTACCACTTCGCTTACACTTCCAGCCCTATGTTTGGTATACTCTGTATTTTGAGTGTGTGTTGTATTGGGTTTGAACTCAGAGCTTTGCACTTGCTAGGCAGGGAAAATGATTCTGCTCAAGCCATAGTGTGGCCCACGACTCTTGTTTCTGCATAGAGCAGTTACTTTCAGACATACATTTTCTGAAAATGTGTTGTTTCCCTGGTCTTCAGCTGTTAGGTTCATATTATTTCTTCATTTAGCAATGCTTCACCTCATGCCACAAAAATTTGGGGCAAACATGTGGTGTTGCCCTGAGGTCTGCATCACAGTCAGGCCGGGGCCTGAAGGAGCCCCCGACCTGATGTCATCAGCAGGCGGTGGCCCTGTTCCACGTGGGCTGGCCACACAGGAGCATAAAGTCCCAGGGGGGATGCAGAGGGTAGGATGGGTCTGCAAGCTGTTTGAAGACCAGAGGCTAGTGGGAGAGTTAGGCTGAGAGAGGGCCTAGGGTGTAAGGTTCGGAAAAGAGCATAGTTCACGCCTCTGGAGCCAGGGTTATGTGTGCAAATTTTGCCTTTTCTGATGAGAGAGGGGAGAAGTGAAATGACAAGACTGACCTGCACCCCATGGGTCTGCTGGGCTTCTGTTTGGTGGAGCTAGATGGAAGTTGTTAGGCCCTCAGCAGGTCAGGAGGGGGAAGGTCAGTGAGGCCCTGTCAGAGCAGGTCAGGAGGGGGAAGGTCAGTGAGGCCCTGTCAGAGCAGGTCAGGAGGGGGAAGGTCAGTGAGGCCCTGTCAGAGCAGGTCAGGAAGGCAGAGAGAGGGAGCCCGCTACAGCCTTGAAGGTATGTGAGCTGTGGACAGGATGTTGATGTACAGGCAATGGTGATGCCAGGCTGTATGGCTTGAATGCGGAGAAGCTGAGCCACAGTTTGTGATGCAGGATGATGGGGACATGAGCCAGGGATTTGTGGGTGCAATATCACCATGGTGCTGGCCTCCAGTTCAACTAGTTACTTTTCAAGCCTAGTGCTGTATCCGTTAGTGTCCAATGAAGAACGAACCCACCTGATACCTAGGTGGGACACAGAAGAGAGAGGGCACCAGAGGTAGTGTTCCCTAGTGCTTAGCTGTCATGTTCCGGCCTGGCCAGAGTTCTAGGTGTTGCTGGAGCCCCCTCTGTGCCTTCCTTTGTGTGCTCACAGCTCTCGCCCTTCTTCTCAGAAGCGCCACAGGGGAGGCCTGGCACGAAATCATGCTGTCTTGTCTAGCCAACCGGGCCTGCGACCCATATGCCAACGCCAGTGAGTGTGGAAGTGACTTTGCCTACTTTTACTTCGTGTCCTTCATCTTCCTTTGTTCCTTTCTGGTAAGTGATGGCATTTTGCTAGCTCATCTCAGAACCTTACATTTCCTGTTAGTTCCTGACTTGGATCCATGCTGTAGCACAAGTTGATTCTTTTGGTCCTGGTACTAATAGGCTCATTAACCCTGGAAAGGACCCACTTGGGGATGAGTTCTTCTTGGCCTTACTTTAACTTGCACAAAAGGCTTAGTTAGGCTTCTTTAGAAGCCTAACTCAGAATCTGGCTTCTAGGAATGTGTTAATGGACGGTAAAGACTACCACTGAACCCCTAGGGATGTGGTGACAGAAGACGTAGCACTGAACCTGGGGCCATACACTTTGGAGGTTAGTGGGAATAAGGTATAGAGGTAGGTGAGCTCTATCTCAGGAGTTTGTGTCTTTTCCCAGATCAGTGGAAGCTTTGAACCTTGGAGCAGGGATGTAATAGCACTTGCTGACAATTTGTTGAGTGACTCAGGCTTTTTTTTTTTTTTTTGCTGGTCATGGGGCCTGAACTCTGGGTCTGACCACTGCCCCTCAGCTCTTCAGCTCAAGACTAGTGCTCTACCACTTGAGCCATAGCCTTCCGGCTTTTTCTGCTTATGTGGTGCTGAGGAATTGAACCCAGGGCCTCATGCATGCAAGGCAAGCACTCTACCACTGAGCCACCTTCCTAGCCCCTCAGGCTTCTTTTTGAGTAAGGAAAAGGTTACAGATTGAGCAGAGGTACCATTAGTGTGAGACTGGTCTGGAGAAGGAGAGTGTCATTGTGATTGTATTTGAAGTATTAGAGTTTGAATACAAGGCTTTGTGCTTGGTAGGTACTACTTGGGTCAGGCCTCAACAGTGATACTTCTATTTATGCTTCTTCCAATAGCTGGGATGATAGACATGAACCACCATACTCAGCTGTCAGTTGAGGATGGGGGTCTCATGAATTCCACATGCACACTCCGGGCTATCCTTGAATTGTGATTCTCCCAGTCTTAGCCTCCTGAATAGTTCAGACGATAGATGCATAGCACGTGACTAGCTATTGGTTGAGACCACCCTTACCTCAATTTCAGCTTCTTGAGTAGCTCTGGACTGTATTTTTGTTTTTTAATGGACTGTATTTTAAAGGTATAGCTGACCTTATTGAAAAACAGAAAAGACAGCACTAGGGTTAGGCACCATAGTTATTATGGTTCTAGGCAGAAAGCTTGTAAGAGTGGGAATGGTGGTTTGCATATCATTGTCTAAGGCTGGACCTAAGCAAAAATGTGAGGCCCAACCTGAAAAAAATAACTAAAGCAAAACAAACCAAAATGGAGTGTGTGGCTTAAGTGGAAGGATCTGTCTAGCAAGCATGAGGCCTGAGTTCATACCCGAGTATCACCAAAAATAAAAATCAGCTGGATGCTAGTGGATCATGCCTGTAATCCTAACTACTCAGGAGGCCAAAATCTGAGAATTATGGTTGGAAGCCAGCCCAGGTGAGGACTCTAATCTCCAATTAAAACTACCCAAAAAACCAGCAGTAGAGATATATTTCAAGTGGTAATGCATTAGCCTGAAGCAAAAGAGCTCAGGTACAGGACCAGTGTGAACACACACATGCACACACGTAAATTAAAAATGCGTGCGTGCGCGCGCGCGCGCGCGCGCACACACACACACACACACACACACACAAACCAAAACAAGGAAAAAAACAAAAACAAGCTATGAGCTGGGTGCCAGTGGCTCATGCTTATAATTCTAGCTACTCAAGAAGTTGATATCTAAGGATTTAGATTCAAAGCCAGTTCAGGCAGGAAAATCTGTGAGACTCTTATCTCTAGTTAACAAGCAAAAAGCCAGAAGTGGAGCTCTGGCTCAAGTGGTAGGGCATCAGCCTTGCGTAAAAAGCTAATGGACAGTGCCCAGGCTCTGATTTCATGCTCTAGCACCAGAACCTCTCCTACTCCCACTCCTCCCAGAAAGCAAGCAATGCCTTAGAGTTTTTGTGTGATGGTTGAAGCTCTCAGCCTGAGATGAGAAACATGGAGAGCTGCAGGCATGAGATAGAGGCCAGTTGAGATGCTTCACAGACCTCTGGGTTGGAGTTGGGGATGAGTTGCTCTCTATGTTGGGGTGTGTCTGTAGGGCTGGAGGACCCCCTCTGGGCTCCAGCCATGTACCCTGCTGGAGCCCAGAGCAGGTTTGCCTGTGATCATAGCAAGGACATAGGTTCCCCTCATCCCTGGGGAGGTGAATCCTTCCAGCCTAGGGCCTGACCTGCATGGCTGTTGGCAAGCTTCTGCTTGCCTGAATAGAGTAGAAGCGCAGGGACAATGACATAGTCTAGCAATGATGAGTCCCCAGACCTGAGTGAGTCTATGGAATGAGGAGCACTACAGGGAAACCTGCCTCCAGAAGGTATGTGGCAGTATGTGGACATTTTTGTCTGTCAAGGCTAGGGTCAGGGCTATTGGCATTGAGTGGACAAAGGCCAGGGATACCATGTTCAACATCCCACTACTCAGCTTAACATGTCAGCCATGCCAACACTGAGACTGAATGTTGAGATGACTTAGAAGGGCTAGGCTAGGTGAAGGATCTAGTAGGACCAGCTCTGGTTACAGAAGGAAAGCCTGAGTATCTTTCAGGGAGCAGTACTGTTATGAGATGAGCTATGGGCTTCTAGTAATTTGGATGGATTCCTTTAGCCAAGGACATCACAGTGAATCAAGGTAATGGCAGAGTGAGGGCCTGGTGTGGGGAGTCCCAGAGGGAGTCTGTGCTATACTGGGGCCTGGGGCAGTTCTGGGACCCTTTGTGGCCATAGGTTCCTCCTTTCTGAAGGTCTGGTGGTAGCAGCCCAACTGGTCTTGGGATCAGTTTAGGGTGGGACATAGTGATGAATGCTCAAGACTTCTAATGTCACCCTTCTAGCATTTCAGGAGATGTTACTTGGGGACCACTTTGGAGGACAGGTGCCTAGAAGTTCATGTTGGGACAGGGTGTGAAAAGAGAAGGCTGGCAATACAGGGAAGTGATTGTGAGCCTATCCTTGGAGCTGTGTCCTGGATACTGGAAGGGCTTGTTTATGGCTAGCTCGGGAGGGCCCTGTTGACAGGCCCTGGAAGGTTCTGGATTCCCAGCTGGAGCCTCTGAAGTAGGAGTTGTTTATTTTAAGGCTTTGTGTGTTGGCTATATAGCACAGGAGAGGTAAGGTGGGCAGACTGTGTGCTCTTTTAAGGTGCCATTGGCTGGGTTTAATTCACTGAAATATGAGTCAAGGTTTGTGTGTCAGACAGGTGAAGTGGAAAAATGGAATGTTTTTGGGTGGTGGATGGGTGGCAGGACTAGATTAGGGTGGAGTTTGGTTTTCTTGGTTGAAATAGAATATGAACAGAATAATTGGAAGGGAGGTGATTGCCATTGATTATTGAGTTAGCCACTGCAGAGTTTTTTTTAAAATACACTGAGCTATGTAGCAGTCCCGGTAGCATCATTATCACCACAATAAAGAGATGGAGATATAGAGATGGTAATGTATTTTTGGTAACCTGTGTTCAAAAGCAAAGCCTTGGAAATTGACAGATTGCTAGAAGGACATGGATTACACCACACTCAAGAACAAGTAGAAAATCTGAGTTGATCTATAATAAATATTTGACTCAGCAATCAAAAACCCCCAAAGAAAGAGATTGTCAAGATTGTTTAATAATGAAGGAGTTGCCTTTTCAACAAATGGTATTGGTAAGACTGGTTATTCATATGAAAAAGAGTGAAGTTTGAGTCTTTCCTTGTACTATATAAAAAAATTAGCTGGGTGCTAGTGGTTCCCACCTATAATTGTAGCTACCCAGGGGGCTGAACTCATCGGGCAGGAAAGCTCATGAGACTCTTACCTCCAATTAACCACCAAGAAGCCAGAAGTAGAGCTGTGGCACAAATGGTAGAGTGTGCTCAGGCCCTGAGTTCAAGTCCCAGGACTAGCTTGAACACACACACGTAGAGAGAAAATCAACAAAACAAAACTCAGAATTAGTCAAATATTTAAATGGAAGAAGTAAAACATGAAACTCTTGAAAGAAAATATATGGGATAGATGTTTTTGACCTACTATTTAACAAAGGAGCTTGAGATTGACACTAAAATGACAAGAACTAAGCAGGGCGCTGGTGGGCTTATGCCTGTGATCCTAGCTACTCAGAAGGCTGAGATCTGAGGATCACAGTTCAAAGCCAGCCTGGGCAGGAAAGTTTGTGAGACTCTTATCTCCAATAAACCATCAGAAAACCAGAAGTGGCACTGTGGCTTAAGTGGTAAAGTGCTTGCCTTGAATTAAAACCTGAGGGACAGTGCCTAGGCCCAGAATTCAAGCCCCATGACCTACAAAAAAAAAAAAAAATCCACAAGAACTTTATACATTAAAGGACATTATCAACAGGTTGAGAAGACATTAAAGAAAAGATTGCCAAATCAGGCCACGTGCAGGTGGCTCATACTTGTACTGCTGGCTATTCAGGAGGCCGAGATCTGAGGATCACGGTTCAAAGCCAGCCTGGGCAGGAAAGCCCATAAAACTCTTATTTCCAATAAAAACCCAAAAAAGCTGGAAATGAAAGTATAGCTCAAGTAAAGTGCTAGCTTTGAACACAAAAGCTCAGGGATGGGCTGGAAAGGTGACTCAGTGGTAGAGGGCTTGCCTTGCATGCCTGAGGCCCTGGGTTCGATTCCTCAGCACCACATAAGCAAAAAGAAAAAAGCCGGAAGTGGTGCTGTGGCTCAGGTGGTAGAGCGGTAGCCTTGAGCTGAAGAGCTGAGGGACAGCACCCAGGCCCAGATTCAGGCCCCACGACGGACCAAAAAAAAAAAAAAAAAAAAAAGCTCAGGGAAGTCCAGGACAGGCATAAAAAAAAAAAGATTGCCAAATCATATATAAGATATACAAGATATGGAATTAATATCAAGACAGGAAGAACTATTAACAAAAAACACCCAACCTAATTAAGAAATAAGCAAAGGTCTTTAACTACCCCCCCTCCCAAAAAGGACAAGTATATAAAAAAGATATTCAGCATAATTAGGGAAATGTAGATCAAAATCACAACCAGCCGGGTGCCAGTGGCTCACGCCTGTAATCCTAGCTGTTCAAGAGGCTGAGATCTGAGGATTGAGGTTCAAAGCCAACTGGGGCAGGAAAGTCTGTGAGACTCTTATCTCCAGTAAACCACCAGAAAACTGGAAGTGGTGCTGTGGCTCAAGTGGTAGAGCGCTCATCTTGAGCCAAAGAGCTAAGGGACAGCGCCCAGGCCCAGAGTCCAACCCCCATGACCGACCAAAAAACAAAACAAAACAAAATAATCATAACCAGATGCTACTTTACATCTATTAATATTGCTATTATATAAATATATTTAAGAGAAAGATAGATGGGAAAAAGAAAATAACAAGTGTTGGCCATGTTGTGGAGAAATTGAAAGCCTTGTGCTCTGCTGGTGACAACACAAGATGATACAGGAACCTAGGTGAGTATGTGTGTCACCGTGCTTACTGCAGCATTTTTCATAATGGCAAAACAGAAGAAGCAACTGCAGCTCACATCAACAGAAGACTGACCAAAATGTGACATCAGTCTATGATAGAATATGTTTCAGTCTGTAAAAGGAAGAAAATCCTTCTAAATGGAGGCATTATGTTAAGTGAAATAAACTAGTCACAAAGGAAATAAACTGTATAATTCCATTAAGATAACGTGCCTTAAGGAGTCAACTTTATGGAGATTGCAAATAGAAATGGTGATTTTCAGGGGGTTAGGGAGATGGGAATGGGGAACTAGTGTTTAATGGGGACACAGTTTCAGTTTGGGAAGATTGAAAGAATTCTGGAGATTGAGCGTAATGGAGGGATAATAATGTGAATAAGCTCACAGCCCTTATTACATTAAAAATGGTTTAAATGGTAAGGTTTTGTTATGCATATTTTACCACAGTCTAAAAAATAGGACTTAAATAGAAGAAAAGGGAACACTCATAGCACATTCTTTGAAATCAGCATTCTCCTTATACCACGGCCACAGATGACAAATGCAGGCTGCAGAGTAATATCCCACATGAATATTGATGTGACTATCTCAACAAAAGAGTAGCAAAATCAAATGTTAACAACATATAAAAAGGATTATGCAGCTGGGCACAGGTGGCTCACACCTGTATCCTAGCTAATCAGGAGGCTGAGATCTGAGGATCGAGGTACAAAGCCAGCTCGAGCAGGAAAGTCCGTGAGACTCTTATCTCCAATAAACCACTCTAAAACCAGAAGTGGTGCTGTGGCTCAAGTGGTAGAACGTTTGCCTTGAGCTGAAGATCACAGGGCCAGTGCCCAGGCCCAGAGTTCAAGCCCCATGACTGACCAAAAAAAAAAGGATTATACCTAGTAAACAACCATCCGAAAAACACATGCTCATTTCAGTAGATGGAGAAAATGTATTTGATGAAACTTAGCATCATAATGTATAACACATAGCAAACTATAGAAAGTAGGAAACTTTATCATCATGATAAGGACTTTTTTTTTTGTTGGTTGTGGGTCTTGAACTCTGGGTCTAGATGCTGTCCTGAGCTCTTCAGCTCAACGCTAGTGCTCTACCACTTGAGCCACAGCGCCATTTCCAGTTTTCTGGTGGTTTATTGGAGATAAGAGTCTCATGGAGTTTCCTGCTCAGGCTGGCTTTGAATCACATTGAGACATAAAAAAAAGAACAGAAAATAAGTCTGGAAAACTTGCAGGAAAATAGGAATTGAGGTTTATTGCTGGTGGGGTTGTAAAAAAAAAATACAGCTGCTGATAATATTTAGCAGTTCCTCAAAAATTTAAGCATAAAATTACCATGTGATTTATCAGTTCTACTCCCAGGCCTGTAATCAAGAGAAATGAAAAGAAGCACTTACAAGGAACTTTTATATGAATGTTTACAGACTTCCGTAGTGGATAGAGAACACAGATGCCCATCAGTGGATGGAGACATGTGGTGTGTGCCTGGATTGGAAAGCCTTCAGCCATGAAATGAAATGATGAATGAGCACATGCTAACCTAGGGAGAACCTCACGAACACTACACTGAGTGAAAGAAGCCAGACAGAAAGGGTCACATATTTTGTGATTCCTTTCATATGAAATATCTGGAAGAAACAGATCCATCTATTTGAAGAATAATTTGATTGTTGCTAGGAGATAAGGGAAGAGAGGAATAGAGAATGATTACTTAATGGGTATAGGATATTTTCTGGGGCTAAAAACCATTTTGAAGCTAGAGATAGGTACATAATACTGTGAACACACTAAGTGCTACTGAATTGTACATTCTAAAATGTGTCATGTGAATTCAGCTTATAGAAAAATAGAACTCAAGCTATTCACTGCCAGTAGCTAAACTTCTTACTCCAAAATCACTGCTCTCATGGAAGGCCAGCCTAAGGAGGTGGATGATGGTTGTCACAAAGCTAAGGACAGATTAACCTGCATGTCAAGATGTGTCATAGTCAAGAGATTTGGGGACTGATCTAGGAAAGAGTGGTAGAAATAGAAGGCAGAGGCTTCAGAGAACTAATGTTGGGATTACATATGTTGGATCAGGAACCGAGAGGATGAGGAGGCCCTGGGAAGAAGTCAATGGGAGGAGCAGGTGTGGTCCAGGGCTGGCCCAAGCCAAGTGACCTCTGCTGTCCAGATAGTTCCACTGTGTTTGGCACTGAGGGTACGTAGGGCAAGAGGACAGGCTGAGGTTTCTGTGTCACCTCTTCTTCTTCCTGTCCTGCAGATGTTGAACCTCTTTGTGGCTGTGATCATGGACAATTTTGAGTACCTCACGCGGGACTCTTCCATCCTAGGGCCTCATCACCTGGACGAGTTCATCCGTGTCTGGGCTGAGTACGACCCAGCTGCGTGGTGAGTGATCCCTTGGGGATGTGGTCCTCAGAGAGGTCCTTTCCCATGATGTTCAGGGCTGGGTGGGCTTTGACATGTTTCCTGTGAACATTCCCTTCAGGCTTTGGTCTGGAATCCAAGAATCTACCCTGTTCTCTGTTGGATGGTGCTGACCATTAAATTCCCTTCAAGTGGTACTTTCCTTTTTGGTCCCTGTGCTTGATGCAGCTCTAAGGCAGATACGTGGTCTTTGAGACTCTGTGTAGCCCTCAGAAGGGTACCTTTGCCTCTGGCCAGGAAGGTTTCCAGGGGTCTGTGAGGCTAGTACACGGAGTGTCCTGCCTTTCTTGAAGCCTGTCCTGTGAGGGATGTAGAGGCTGGTGAGGCAGTGTGTGGAGGCAGCATGGCTGCACACCCCTGTGACACTTGGAGGCTTTAAGAAGAAACATTCTCGATGGGGCTCAAGGGTCTTCTTTCTCTGCCATGGGGGACAGAAGCCAATGTGTGCCTCTGTTGCCAGCCCTAGCTGCATAAGCTTTTATTGAAACCAGAGGAACTACACAATCCTAATATGTTGAAGACCCATTAATTAAGGCGGGAAAGAGTTACTGTGTAACATAAGTGAGATGATTCCTTTCCATAGAGAGGTTTGGGGTCAGAAGGTGAAGTTGTTTAGACTGCTCAGACTTCCAAGTGCTAGGTACACCCAGGGCTGAGCTCACATGCCCGAAGGCAGGCAAGCAGAGCAGCAGGAGCTCTCCACCCTCCACCTGTTCATTATTCAGCACTTCATCCACTGCACATTCAGTTGATCATTCTGTCATCCATTCTCTTATGCATTCCTTTATGTTCTTCATTCACTTGCTTAGTCATTCATTCCTTTGTTCACTTGCTCACTCATTCACTCAATCATTAGTTATTGAGGACAGCTCCCTGCAAGCTGGATGTCGGAGGTGGAGGTGCTGAGGGACCTGGCTGCTACGTAAGACATAGGAATGTTTGTCCCTCACCACAAGTGCATAGAAACCGCTGTGAATGAACACTTGTCATGGATGCCCACTTCCCATGCCCTAGTTGGGGGAGGGGATTTTTCAGCCGAGTTCAGCTCTCACCTGCCTGTGTCTCTCTTGCATGGCTCTGCACCCTACGTTTTGTTGTGGGACTTAGAGAATGTCCTCAGGCTGGGGGTGTGATCAGAGAGGCAGGAGGGTGTGGTCAGGCTTCTGGTGGAGAGGCTGGCTAGGCTTCCTCACTATTCTGCTAGACTGTGAGTCACTCTCCCTCAGCTCCCTGGCATATCTTTTCCACCATAGTGAGGAAGCTGTCAGCTTGGGTAAGTCCCACTGCCTGGTAGTAGGGACCCGACCCTAGACACAGGACACAGGCCTTTCTTGTCCAGGCCCACTAGGCCCCTAAAATCTCCTTCTGAGATGTATTGAGAGAGAGGGAGAGAGAGAAAGAGAGAGAGTGAGACAGAGAGGCAGAGAAAGACAGAGACAGACAGAGACTATATGAATATCTGTATGCTTGTCCTGTGGCTTGAACTCAGAGCCTGAGCACTAAGGCTTGCATTCTACCACTTGGGCCACAGATCTACTTCTGGTTGTGTGTGTGTGTGTGTGTGGTTAATTGGAGATAAAGACTTTCCTGTCTTGGCTGGCTTTGAACTGTGGTCCTCAGATCACAGCCTCCTGAGAAGGTATGAGCCACCAGCACCTGGCTTGCATTTTATGTTTTAATGAAAAATTTAGTTCTCTCTCCCCACCCTCCAGTACAGAAGAAACATAGCAGTTATTTATGTTTCCTAGCATATGTGACCATTTTTTTTTATAGCTCTCAAAAGTGCTGTTATGTTGTTGGAGAGTCTGAGAATGAGTCCACCAATGTGGGCTTAGAGTTTGAAGAAGTGTATTAAGATGTTGCAGAAGCTGACTGGCCAGGGACATAGTGTAGACTCAGGAGCTAACACTGTGACCCCGAGCATCCACACAAGCTAGGCTTATGAAGGCAAAAACTGCAAGCAGGTGCAAGCTGCAAAGTTCCAGTGATATGATAACATCAACCTTTTTGAAACAGGACTTTTACAATGTATTACATTCCTCAGTTCCCAGTAGCAGGTTATTGCATTCCTCAGTTCCCAGTAAGGGGTTAAATTCCTGACTCAGTTTCCTTGCTTGGCCTAGGGGCATTTTTTTTTAATCCTAAGAGACCCTTTACAATGTCTGTTGCATCCCCATCTTTGCCTTGAAATGCCCAAGACTCCGCTGGAGTGTACAGGCTCAAAGATATTTCCCTGTGTCTGTGGTTAAGAAGACCAGGCAGGGGTGGGAGACACTCCACCTGAGGCATGAGTCAGGAGCACTCTGAGAGTGGTGCTGACACCGAGGCATGGTTTGGAGGCTCTGCGAGAGTCATCCTGAGGCTGTGGCCTAAGGAGTTGCTGGGTTTCAGGAACACTTAAAATGTTGTAGAAACAGATACTTTAAAGGACATGGTTTGTTTTAAAGGCCAGTAAGAGGAATCCGTATTCACTTGAATTTTTATGAAGTGCATATCTAGGTCTTACAGCCAGTTATGAGTAAGAACAGAAATATGGTGTGCAGCAAGTGGCTTTCTGTGTAATGAGGTCTAAGATGGTTTTCCAGTTCCAAGTTTTAGAATCCAGGGACCCTGAGAAATACAGGATGTCAGGATATAGAAAAAGTGCTTGTTGAATTCACTGAAGACCAGAAGCCTTGCCTGAGTAGCACATGCCACAGCCACAAAAGACTAATGAGCTAGCAATGCTGATAGACCTGTGAATAACAGCTGTACACGTCTGTTCCTGTGAGCGGTGAGGTTGAAGCTAGCTCGCCCTTTGACTGCTAAGGAGATGGAAGGCCTAGCAGTGCTAGTACACTTTGGATCTGGGTCCCATGTCCTAGATGGGACATGGGCAGAGCAGATGCCCCCTCAAGTCTGATAGTAGTTTGCATGAAGATACAGGTCTGTAGTCTATTTACCAAGTGACTTGGACATCTCATTCTGGGGGGGGGGTGAGAACTTCAAAACCATAAAAAACTTTGTCAAACTCCCCAACATTTGTGTCTATGTATGTGTGCCCACATGTCTGTGCATATGTACACAGACACACGTGTGCATGTGTATATGCATGGGTACATCTATGTTGAGAGCCTGTGTATATGCTGTGCATGAGTACATGCTGTGTGTGTATACCTCAGAGTGGGAACACACTCTACATGCATGTGCACCCACACAGACACATGAATGCATGTGTATATGTGTGGGTACATCTGTGTTGATAGCCCGTGTGTATATTGTGCATATGTACATGGTACATGTGCATACATCAGAGTGGGAGTACATTCTACATCTGTGTGCACACATGTGTCTGTGCATATGTGCACAGACACACGTGTGCATGTGTATATGCGTGAATACATTGTTTTGAGAGCCTTGTGTATACTGTGCATGTATAAATGCTGGATGTGCACAGAGTGGGAACATATTCTACTGTATGTGCACACATGTGTCTATGCATATGTGCACAGACACACATGTGCATGTGCACATGTGTGGGTACATCTGTGTTGAGCCTTGCGTATGCTGTGCATGTGTCCATGCCGTATGTGCATACATCAGAGTGGGACCACACTCTAGATGCATGTGCACTACACACATGTACATTTTATGCAAATTACTATGTGTGTACATGTATATGCATATGAGGGAACTGCCTGTTTATGCATGCTTACGTGAGTGTGTGCTGTGTGCATGTGTGAGTTCTATGTATGTGTTTATACACATGCCAGTGTGTGTACATGTCATATGTGCATTGGGTATACATGTGCAAGGATGTGTGTACTATGGGAAACTAGGAAGATATGAATCTGTGGATGTTTGGGAGCCTTTCCCCAGCCTTCCTTTTGTTGCTGTCAAATGCACTTTTTATGGTAAAGTGTACGCAGAAACTCAAAAGGAGAATCACAATCACATCTCTTCATATGTCCCATAAGCATTTCCTGAGCAGCTGCTGTGTGCTGGGGCCATGGTCAGGAGTGAAGCAGGCACAGGCATGCTCTCTGAGCACTTGCTTTGGAAGGGGATGGTAGAGTGGCTGTCACTTGAGTCTGGGGACATTTCTGAAGGACAGATGGCTTGACATCTGGCATACACTCAAGGAGGCAAAATGGGGTGAGTGCTAAAGAATGCTGGGAATAGTAAGTCCTGAAGTGAGGGGAAAGCTAGGCTGGTTGTTAGCTGGAGTGACTTTGTTACAAAGTTGGCTAAAAGAAGGCTAGGAGAGACTGAGAAAGGCCCTGAAATTTGGGTTAAGCACATAGCTTTGATTGTGTTTGACAGTGGGAGGTTGAATCAGAGAGTTATGATAGCCTGCCCATGCTTTTCTTCTGGTGGCATTTAATGAATTTGTTGGGCAGGGTAGTCATGAGGTTCAAGGGCTTCGTGTACCCAGCCCCCTTAGGAAGGTCCCCAGGGTTCAACAATGTTGGCAGGTAAAGTGAGTGAATTTAACATGATTTGGGTCTGATTGGACTGAGGAGGGAGCAGCATTGGAGAGAGAAGAATTGGAGGTACCCTCAAGGGTGCTCGCTCTGGGAGGAGTATGTCCTTAGCTAAAAAGAATGTGTTCTAGGGTGGGAGTCTGCTGTCTAGGGAGACAGGGACAATCAGGAGGCACACAGACACACATAGATGTATACCTCTGAGGTTGTTGTGACGGAAATGAACAGGCTCTATTAGGGCGTGAAGAAGTCAGAGTTGGAGGAAGTGTCATGGAGAGGGGCTTCTGGCACTGAAGGGGCTGACAGAGAATGAGCGTGGGCCAGCCCAGATAAGCCATCTTGCCCAGCGTGGAACCCACGGGTGCAGATGTGTGTTCTGTGTGAGGCGTGCAGGTGTTCTGTACAGAGTGTCTTCTGTCTACCTTGGAGCTGCCGTGCTTTCTGGGAAGCACCAGACAGAACCCTATAACCAGCAGAGCGCAACCTGTACGGCTGCACCCTCACCCCCACTACCGTGGCTGCTCAAGGCACATCTTCCCATCGCAGGCTGGGCGGGGAGTGGGATGGGTTCCACCGTGCCTTGTTGCCATAACCTGTAACATTTCCTTTCCAGTTGCCGGATTCATTATAAGGATATGTACAGTTTGTTGCGTTGTATTGCGCCACCCGTTGGCTTAGGGAAGAACTGCCCTCGTAGGTTGGCCTACAAGGTTTGCAACTTCAGAGCCTCCATCTGACATACTTCCTTGCCCGAATCGCAAACACTGCACACACTCCCTGCCTGGTTTGGGAATGACAACACCTCACCTCTCCTCTGCCCTGCCATGCCCCGCATTCCGGCCTCCTGGATGCTTTGGTTCCCTGTCTAATCCCCCCGGACCCTTGCAGCTGGCTGGGGGAAGGCAGCCTTTGGGACAGTGCACAGGGAGCTTTCTGGCCTGGCCGTATCGGCCAGCACCAGTTGACTGGGTGGGCGCTGGAGGCCAGGTCCAGCCTGTACCAAGGGAACAGTGGCTGCACTCAGCTTTCCTGCAGGCTCTGGTGGGTGGTGGGCTGATGGTCAGCCCGAGGAGGGGCACATGTGCACAAATAAACCAGGAGTGGCTGCCCTTCCGGGTCAGAGAAGGTTTCTGAATCCCTGGGAAAGGAGAAAGTAGAGGCAGAGTGGACTAAGAAAAGAGGGGCCCCCTGTTTCAGCTCTGGATTGAACTGCTCAGCCCAGCAGAGTTGCCCCTGGTCTGGAACTATGTGCTGAGGGCACAGTCTGGGCAGGTCTGCCTGCCAGGGAAAGGCTGGGCCTGAACTTGCTAAGTCTCTGAGACCGAAGCCCACAGGAAGGTACACTGGGGTAGTGCAGCTGCTCTGCTTGGGAAACACTCACTGGCCCCAGAGACTTCCCTGGGTCCCAGGTCCCACAGGAGGCATCTCCCACCTATTGGGCCCCAACCGGTCCTATCAGAGGCGTGAGAGTGGCACCAGGCCATACCCACCCAGCTCCTCCCCTCCCTGCAGTCTCCTTCCCATCCAGCCCTGACCCCAGCAGCAGCCCTGCCCTGGGCTGGCCTCGGGCGTCTCTGGGCTTGGAGCAGGACTTGCCCTATGGTCAAGTTCAGCTCTATAGCCTCTGGGCTCCCTCTTTAGTTTTCTCGTCTGTTGTACATTTTCCTCCACTTTAGCCTTTGCCTTACTTGGAAGCAAATCTGACCATTAAGACAGATGATGATGCTGCCTTGGTTCTCAGCAGAAGCCCCATCTCCACAGAACTTGGCCAGAGCTTCCTACACGGTGGAACAGTTCTGGTCTGATTTGGCCTTATCTGTGGCTCTAAAAGAGTAAAAACAGTAAAAATATAACCCAAAGCCGCTCCGATGCAGCCCTTCCTCACCCCTCCATGTTCATTAGCTCAGACGTCACCCCTGCCCGCTGTCCTGCGTGGGGCTGGAGTGAGGAGGTGAGGCTGGGGGTGGGGGCAAGCAGGGGTCAAGTCAAGCAGAGCGTCCCTCATCTTACCAGTTTCAATTTTGGGCATTTAACCGACACTTTGGTTAACTGGATCTGTTTTCTTGTCTGCTTCCTCCCCTGCCCGCTCCCTGCTCTGCCCCTCCTGCCGTGGGCCTCTCCTGTGGACCACCCCTCTGTGCCTGCCTCTGGGACGGGCTTCCAGTGGGCGCATCAGTTACAATGACATGTTTGAGATGCTGAAACACATGTCTCCACCTCTGGGGCTGGGGAAGAAATGCCCGGCTCGAGTTGCATACAAGGTAGACCCTGTCCCTGCACCGTCCCTGCTCCCCATCCAGGAGCTGTCTGCAGTCTGCAATGCCCTCCTGGGCCATGCAAAGCTCACAGGGTGCTTGTGGGCGCTCAGCTGCTTGTCTGTACCTGGCTGCCTGGCTGCCGCTGTCTTCTTCACCTTGCCTCCTGCTCCCATCCCAGGCAGAGGAACATGTCTGCCCTGGGCCCTGGGGCCTTGTCTAGTGCTCCGCACTGCTGATGCCCCTCTGAGGCTCAGGAAGATGGAGCTAGAGCACGACCCTCCCCCTTGCCCTTTCTCCTTCCCTCTCTTCCTAGGAATGAGGGGACAGAACCAGGTGGTTTATTTACTAATTTTTTTTGATAGAGGTTATTTTATTCTGTATCCTTAGGCCCTGGCATGGGTTAGCGTTTCAGGTCCTCAGCGCCCTGCCCTGCGGGGCGGCCTGGACCCCTGTGCTGCTCCTCCCCCTTCTCTTCCCCAAGCACAGGCAGCACAGAGGGGCTTGGCCTGGCCATAGTCTCTAAGGACTTCCTGAGCTCCATGGTGGGAAGGAGACATTTGCAGTGAGAAAGAGGAGGTATCAGGGAGACACTTTATGTCACTTCTAGGGTGACAGAGGCCCCTTTAGGAGGGGCATGGCTTAGGGTACTAGGAGTCACAGGTGGCTGAGCTTTAAGGAAGTGGGTAAACTTAGGAACACCTCCAGGCACCCCCTGCTGGAGGCTTGGCAGGTTATATGGCCCAGCCCTAAGCCTGCTCCCCTGCAGTACCACCTGCAGTCCTTACATCCCGCCCCCGCCCCCGCCCCCTCTCCCCTCCCCCCTCCCTGCACCTTGGCCTGTCCTGGTCTCTACGACTCTCCAGAAAACAGGGCCAACTGTCTTTGCCAGAGAGAGCTTTCTCCCAGTTTCCTCTGGTGTACTGTGTGCCCCCTGCCCATATGGGCTTTGTCTGTGACCCCCCTTCTTCTAGGTCTTCATGTTACTGGTTCACTATAGTCTGTGGGAGCAGAGCAGCTCTCCCAGCCGCACAGAGATGCCTCTGGGGTTTTCTGCCCTTCCCCGCCCCTGACTTGCATGTCTGTTATGCCTGCTGAAGGCCCTGCATGCAAGGCTGTGGCCATGTCCCCTGAAGGGAGAGCTCTGTCCACACAACACTTGGAACATGCATGCAGGACTGTAAGGTCCTTCCCATGCTGGCTGATCCTGAGTTCTGGATATGACAGGATCAAGAGAGGATTCAGCTTGGGGACTGGTTGGACTGGGGAACTGGGGAAGGCCAAGGAGATGCTCAAATTTTGTGCCTGTTTTCCTTGGCTTTGCTGCTCTGCTTCTATGAAGTTCCTAGCCCTTTAGGGCTTGGGTGGCCCAGGTGAAAGAGTGCCCTGGATGGAGCTCCCCCTCCTAGAAGACATGTGCTTGATCCCTGTCACTCCCATCCCAATTCCCTTCCCTAGGAGAGGAGTTCCCAGCCCCTCCGCACTGCCATCGGTGCTGGTCCGCAGTTCATGCTCTGGAAAGCAGGCCTTTCCTGAGGTGCAGCACAGGTGGTGGGTGAGGCCTTGGCCCTGTGGCTGGGTGTGCCGAGTGGGGCCTTGCCAGCATTCAGAGGACAAAGTCTGGCTCCCATTCTCAGCATTCCTGTACTTCTCCCCTCAGGCCCATGTCACATTGAAGACATAGGCTTGTATGTGGCCCTCTTAGACAAATGGCCCAGGGCTATCCTGCCAGGATGCCAGGCCCAAGACAGAACTCCCTTTTCTGGTTCTCTCTTCTTGTGGAGAAGACAGAGAGTTATGGTGCTTCTGGGGCTTCATTTGGACAGCCAAGTGCTCATAGATGCATCTGAGACCTTTTTCCTCCTCAAGGCCTCATAATTTCTCAGACCCTGGAACTCTGGGAAGCTGCTGGCTCTTGTCTGGAATGCATGGTGCAGATTTACATCTGTTTCTAGATGTCCTGTCCTCCAAAATTGAAGAGGAAAAATTGGCCGCTTGATGGAAGATGGTAGCAGTGTACTCTCCAACAGCCCATGCTGCTCCTGTTGGAGCTGGAGGCCTGTGTAGTCATTCTGTCTGTTCTGGTCCTTCCTACTGGAAGGATGAAAGGAGGTTGTCTCTAATGCTTTCCTTACTGCTTTGGGTGATATGGTTTCCACCTTCAAGTGGCGTGAGCATGTCTTCCCAGCCCCCTGGCTGGGTGGGCCGGGGGTGGGGGGGGAACGGGTGGAATCTCACAGGGTCTGAACTATGCTAGAATGTCTCTCTTTAGGGATCTTCCACTGGAGCTTGAACTCAGAGTAGTCTTCTTGGCCACCATCCCTTGTCCAGATCACCCATCTGCAGGTGGAGGAGGTCAGGTCACCAGAGTTACAGGATGGGTCCTTCCCTCTTTTCTGTGGGCTAACCCAGAAGTCTCCACCTTAGCAAGGCCACATACCCTTATTTTGTCCACAGTCATTGATTAAACAGAGGTCCCTTGGCTGAGGATGTTCCTGGTCTTCCAGAGGGATCCAGGCTGCTGCCTTGGACAGGCCTTGCCCTGTATTTCTGTTCTTCTGCAGCCAGGAGAATCCTCAGCTTAGATGAGGTAGGCTTAGAGGAGAGTGAATGCTGGCAAAACTCCCACCCACCCAGCCTTGCTTGGCCCTGGCACTCGCAAGGACTACCCTCAGGAGGCCCAGTCCAGTCACTGCAATCCTGGGGTGCGGGGAGACACGTGTACATGGCCCTGATCTCCTCCCACTTGTCCCCAGCGCCTGGTCCGCATGAATATGCCCATCTCCAATGAGGACATGACGGTGCACTTCACGTCCACGCTGATGGCCCTAATCCGGACTGCCCTGGAGATCAAACTGGCCCCAGGTAAGGGGGTGGCCTGCAGGGGGGGGGGAGATTATCCGATCAGTCCAGAGTGAGCTCAAGGCCAACCTTGAACACACACACACACACACACACACACACACACACACCAGAGTGAGCTCAAGGCCAACCTTGAACACACACACACACACACACACACATACAGAGCCAGGCCCTGTTTCAAGGTAAAACAATGGGAAACAAAACAAAAGGAGAGTGGACCCAGGCAGATGTGCCTGGAGGAGGGTGAGGGGGCCTGGCTTTGTGTGGAGGGCAGGTGTGCCAAGTGCCTGCTCTGGCCACTGCTGGCTTTAGCGCTGATGGCCATCAATACTATAATGACTCTCTCTTTAGTGAAGAGACAAGCCCAGTGAAGTGGGGTCACTCCACCCATGTTACTCAGAACTAGTTAGTGGAGGAGCCAGAATTCAGCTCACCACGATCCCCTATAGGCCATATATACCTTCTGTTTCCACTGCCTTCTACCCAGAGAAAGTAGGAGCTACCAAGGGGCCCCAAGTCCCAGCACATCCCTCTTCTCTGCCCCCTGATGCTTGGCCACTGGCCCCCGTGTAGGAGTGGGCTGCTCCCCTTTGCACTCCCAGCCCAGTTTCACCATTTTCCGGATGCCACCTGCAGCTCCCACCCTTTTTCTTGCCCTGTTGATTTTCCCTCTGCTGGGTTTCTTGTATCAATATGTGAATGCATTACTATGTTTCTTTTCTTAAAAAATTCCACACAAGCGAGTCCAACAATTTAGAAGAAATGGAAGAATTTCTTAAAGAGGTTTTGAGAATAGATGCCACAATATCCCTCTATATAGATAAACTCTATTAGATAAACTAAAGCCTTCCAGAAAGAAAATCCCAGGTCTAGATGGATGGAATTCTACAAAACATTTAGTATTATCAGAGAATATTTCCCAACCTACTTGAAATGAGCTTTACACCGATTCAAAAAACAAAGATCTGACAAGGAACTAAAGCTTCAAGACTTCTGGTAGCTCATGCCTGTAATCCTAGCTACTCAGGAAGTTTAGATTTGAGGGTCACAGTTCAAAACCAGCCTGAAGGGTAGGAATGTGGCTTGGTGGTAGAGTGCTTGCCTCACATGCATGAAGACCTGGGTTCAATTCCTCAGTACCACATAAACAGAAAAAGCCACCCTGTGGCTCAAGTGGTAGAGTGCTAGTCTTGAGCAAAAAAAAAAGAAGCTCCGGCACAGTTCTCAGGCCTTGAGGTCAAGCGTCAGGACTGGCAAAACAAAAACAAAACAAAAAAGTCTGTGAAACTCTTATCTCCACTAAATTACCAAAAAGCCAGAAGTGGAGTTGTGGTTCAAGAGGTAAAACAGTAGCTTTGAGCAAAAGAAGGAAAGAAGCAAGGAAGGAAGGGAGCGAAGGAGGGAAGGAAGGAAAGAAGGAAAAGAAAGAAACCTTCAGACCAAATCAGCCTCATGAACATAGACACAAAAATCTTCACCCCAATTTCAGGTAGCTGAATCTAGTTATACATAAAAGAAGTCAACACAGGATGGCACTGTTGGAATTATCCCAGAATTGTAGGGCTGATTCAGTGTTTGTAGATCAGTATAGCTTATCATATAAAACAGTAGAACTATATGATGTCTCATCAGGTACAGAGAGAAAGCATTGACAAAATCTAGCATTCGCCGGGTGCAGGTGGCTCATGCCTGTAATCCTAGCTACTCAGGAGGCTGAGATCTGAGGATCGTGGTTCAAAGCCAGCCTGGGCAGGAAAGTCCGTGAAACTCTTATCTCCAATAAACCACCAGAAAACTGGAAGTAGCACTGTAGCTCAAGTGGTAGAGTGCTAACCTTGAGCTGAAGAGCTGAGGGACAGCGCTCAGGCCCAGAGTTCAAGGCCCATGACGGACCAAAAAAAAAAAATCTAGCATACATTTATGCTAAGAAATTTCTAGGGCTGGTCATGGTGGCTCATGTCTGTAATTCCAGCTACTTGGGAAAAAGGGATGGGAGTATTGCAGTGTTAAAGCCAGCTCCAGCAAAAAATTAGTGATACCCTATCTCAAAAACAAACTAGGCATTGTTATTTATGCCTATAATTTCAGCTAGATGGGAGGTAGAGAGAGGAAGGTCACCATTCAAGGTGGTCAAAAACTGTTCGAGACTCTGTGTGAAAAATAACTAAAGCAAAATGGGCTCACTAGCAAGCACAAGGACCTGAGCACCATATTCAGTTACTCCTCCACCCCACCCCCCAGAAAAGAAAAATCTTCTGTCGTTGTTGTCAGTTTTGGGGGCGGGGATTGACTCAGGGCCTGGGCACTGTCTCTGAGCTCTTCTGCTCAAGGCTAGCACTCTATCACTTTGAGCCACAGTGCCACTTTGGTTTTCAGATGATTAATCGGAGATAAGGATGTTAGATTATTTGGACTTTGCCAGAAAACCATGCAGACATCCAGGTACAGAGACCAAAGAAAGGTTTATTACTGGGAAAGGGGGCTGGCAAGACTCCTCACAAGGGAAGAATGAGAAGAAGCACCAGCTATTGTCTGGGGTGACCTACATAACCTAGGAGGTCTAGGAGGGGCTAGAAGGGGTTAGGAGGCGGAGACCCTGGTGTGGATGTGTGGGCCAGGGGCTTCATCATGGCAGACTAGGATTTATGGTTGGTGTCCAAACAGCTGCCCAGGCCTGAAGGTCACTCTAAGGGGCTCTTGTTGCCTTCTATGGTGGTAGCTGCCCCCAGAGAAGTGCCATCCTGAGGTAAAGGGGGTTGGAGGCTGATTATTTACTACCTTCACTACGTGGGCCGAATGTTGCCTAGGAAGGGAGCGTGCCAAGCTGTGGAGAGGAGAAGGAGAGGACTAAGCTATGGGAAGGGAGCACATTTCGCCAACAAAGGGTCTCATGGACTTTCCTGCCCGAGTTGGCTTTGAACTGTGATCCTCAGTTCTTAGTCTCCTGAGTATCTAGAATTACAGGTGTGAGCCACCAGTACCCAACTGTCAAGAAAAAAAAAAAAACTTCCTATGTAACTAGGAAGTAAATGTTCTCTGTCACATTGTCTCATAGGTATAATAAAGAGTATCTATGAACAAATTAGTTGGCCATGCACTGGTGGCTCATGCCTGTACTCTTAGGTACTCAGGGGACTGAGACCTGGAAGATCTGAAGCCAGCCTGGGAAGAAAAGACCAAAAGATTCCATCTTTAAAATAACCAGCAAAATGCAGGGCTGATAGTGTAGCTCAAGTGGTAGAATGCCAGCTGTTCAATCCAGCTATACAAGCATGAGCCCCTGAGTTAAAGCCAGCTACCAGCCACAAAACCAAACAACATCTATAGTTAATATAATTGGCAAAGAAAAGCAGCCTCCTTTCTGCCGAGGACAAGAACAAGCAAATATGGCTGCTGTTACCATTTTACTCAGTTCCTATCTTCTGTAATAGGGTGAAAAAAAGAAATAAGAACAAGAAATGCAAGCATCTTTCTTCCTGATTGATCCGATTACCTGTGTCAAAAATTCCAGTCACAGTTTAAAGGTACTGAAACTACTAAGTGTAACAAGGTCACAGTGTGGCAATTACATTTGTGTAATAATAATTAACAATGGAAATTGAAAGAAAAGTTCTATTAGGATAGCAGCACAATCATAAAATATTTCAGTATTGTTAGGTATCTAAAAAACTCGCATACAAGGTTTATGGTGTGAACTTGAAAACATCAGCAAGAGGAATTGCGGAAGGCCTAAGTAAATCAAGTGCTCTGTTATGTTCATTGACTGGAGGATTCAGTGTTGCCAAGATATTAATTGTCCCTACCCGAACATGAGGACCAGTCATCCCAATATTTGAAATCTCAACAGATTTTTTGGTAGTAGTTTGCAGATCAATTCTAAAAGTTATATAGAAATGCAAACAAACTTGAATAATGGTTTTGAAAAAGAAGAAAAAAGCTGGAAAACTTATTCTCCTTGACTTAAAAAGGCTTTTTTTTTTTGGTTTGGTTACTGGTAAGGTTTGAACTCAGGGTCTAGCACTGACTCCACTGCATGCTGGGCTAGTGCTCTATCACTAGAGCCGTACCTCAAGCCCTTCCTTTTGTTGGTTGTTTTGAAAATAGGGTCTCATAGATTTTTCTGCCCCAGCTGGCTTTGAACTACAATCCCTAAATCTCAGGCTTCTGAGTAGCTAGGATTACAGGAATAAACTACTGGTGCTAGGATTTGAAAGGGTAGAAATGCAGAATGAAAGAATAGCATACATAACCACACTCCTATGGTCAACTGATTTTCAACAAAGTAGAAAAGGTAATTAATAGAGAAAAAAACATTCCTAACAAATTGTACTGGAAAATTTAGACAGCCAAATGCAAAAGGAAAAACAACAAAAAAAATCTTGATTTAAACTTATTCTACTCAAGCTGCCACCTGGGAAATCCAAGATCAAGATGCTGACAAGGTAGATTTTGGTTTGAGACAACTGCTTCTTTCTGTGTCCCCTCATGGCCTTTCCTCTGAGAGCATCAGGTGAGGGAGGGGCACTGATACCCGGTGTCTTCTCATAGGTATTAGTTTTATGGATTAAGCTACCTTCATGATCTCCTAAATGGGTCACACTGCAGTTAAGGGTACTGCAAACCAATTTTCTGGGAACACAGTTCGATTCATATAAATACTGTGTGCCAACCAAGTACAGCTCCCACAATTCAATCCATAGGACATATTTTCACCTTCTATGAAACTTAACTTGAAATGGATCATGAACATAAGGTACAATTTAAAATTATAAAACTTTTAGAAGAGAACTCAAAAGGAAAATGTTACAACTTTGGCTTAGGTGACCTTCCTTCCTTCCCTCCCTCCCTCCCTCCCTCCCTCC